GCACGTAAGCCTCCTCCCTTGCCCGCATCCCAGAAGGATTTACTGCTTCACAGACCCAGACTCCAAGGGCACTGGCCTTGCAAAGTCTTTTAATGATCACAGTTTAAGGGACATTTGATGGAAATGTAGCAAGTTTAGAATATAGTAATCTAAAACCGAGCGGTGGTGGTATGCGCCTTTAATCCCAGCAGTGGGGAGGCAGAGGCAAGGGGATCTCGGAGTTCAAGGCCAGCTTAGTCTAAGAGTGTGTTCCAGGAAGCCAAGGCTACATAGAGAAAACCTGTCTCGAAAAACCCAAAACCAAAAAAATCAAAACAAAACAAATTCTAATCTGAATAATGGACTATTTTTTTTTTTTTAAAGTAGAGAGAAGGCTCTGGGAGAAACCTATTAGCAAAGGAACTTTATGAGAATTCCTAAACCTAGCGATGATTGCATATCCAGCTGCTTTCCTGGGATCAGGAATATTTAACAGGAAAAACTTCTTCTGCCTAGATATGTGAAGGGCAGACACCATCAAGCTATTGTCTATAAACACTCTTAAAACGCACTATAAACACAGGTTTAGGACCAGGGAATGTTCCTCAGCGGCAGAGCACCTGCCTAGCATCTGTGTGGAGACAAACATGGCAAGCAAGTGGGGGATCTGTGAAAAGCATAGATAGTATCACGGTGAGACCACCAAAATTAGCTGTGACGCAACTGAAAATTTACTGCCCGACGCTGTCAGCACCCTTTACCCGGTAGAATGAGAAGAGCGGCTTTGTTAATGGAAGCCATGCTTCGGGTAACACTTAGCCAACTGGAATGTATTTCTTGAAAATTTCTATTCCTGGTGAGGAGAGAATGCAAACAGGCTATCCAAGCAGAGTCAAGGTGTGAGGGACGCCAGGGGAGACTGAAGGCTTCTGGGTAACCAACAAAGAGGAAAAGCAGGCATAAAGGCCCAGTGAGTTATCGGCAGGGGCACTGGAGGCCGGTGATGGTGGGGGTGACAACGGCAGAGACAGCACAGTGGTGGGCTACAGATTCAAGCAGACATAATAAGGCTTCATTTCCAAAAGCATTTCTAAAGTTGAGTTTTCCCAGCCTGAGATCTCATATTGGATCCAGCAAATTGTAGGCACTGGATAAATGTATCAGAGAACCCTTAAGAGGGACAAAGTGGTGGGGATCCAGCAGCACCATCCCTCACATCCCAGCCAGGTTTACTGCTGCAGACACGCAGCCCTAAGTGACTACTTGATTTCTAGCCTGGGCTGTTGGAGTCCAGTACAGGCTTAGCTCACACGCAATAAGCCTCACTTCAGTCCTCCTACCCACTCCCTCTCCTGCTGGGACAGGAAGGGTGGAGAATATCCATCACTTGGGATTTAGCTGAGGTCACAAATCTGATTTGATTCCCTTAACCGGCTCTGTCCAGTAAACACATATATGTATCTTTACACCTTTGCCACAAAGGTGTAGGCACTGTTTTGGTTGCTTTGGAAACATGGCCCTAAGGAAGTAAAGTATTTGACAAGACAAACCCCGTGAAAGAAGAAAATAACAGATGTTCTCTTAGCTCCAACTTGCTTCTCACACCCACTAAAAGCTTCTAAGCCTGACTGTAAGGGTTGGCTGGTCTCACAATACACATCCCATCCATTTGTTAGTGCACAGTAAAGCAGCTGCAATTCCTCTCTCTAAAAAATTCTCTGAGGCAGTGCAAACGGAACAGAATATAACATTTGCTGGGTGCATGTCTGCTTCAGTATTCAGTAAATGCTTTAGTAGGCTAGATTTAAGGAAATACTATGTGTGAACCTGGGGATCAGTGGTGGATCCCAAAAGATACTTGTTATAAAAGTACAAATTTTCAAGTATTTTAAAAATCCAGTTTTACAGTTTTTTTTTTTTTTTTTTTTTTTTTTTTGGAGCTGAGGACCGAATCATATGAAAACGAGCTGGCTCACTGAATTGTACCTTGGCCTTAAATTGTGGTCTAAGACAAACCCTGGGAGGAAGGATTCTTAATACAATTAGACACTTTGATATTTAAGTTCACCAAAGGCAGGACTAAATGGCCACCATTAATAGTCTGGCTTAACTGCTTTACTGTGGGCTACATAAGAATTAAAAGGCTACTGTTTTGGATTAAGCTTCTATCCGGATCAGGCTAAAAATAAAATGCCATTGCTCATGCTTAGTCTTCAAGTTACTCAGTTAGAACAACACTTTACCAGATCTGTTGAAAAAACAGATTTAGTGGTGAGACAGATGTCTCCAGTCAGCCAGTTGTCTTTCCAGGGTCTCACTTTGCTTATTTTCAGGTGAAGGGTCTTGGGCTGTGGCTGGTGTGAGCTGATGGCAGCACCGGTGAAGTATGTGCAAAGCCTTGGTTTCCGGAGCTGCTAACAATTCTCCAAGTCATGGAGAGGGAAAGAAAGACATGCTACGGCAGGTAGGCTCTGCAGTCTTAGGATGCGTGGGGGGGGGGGCAGTGGGGTCACAGAATGAGTCCCTGATGATGACAGATGATTATCTTACTCTAACCTGGCATGTAACCCTCCACTCCATGAAGATAACTCTCTATGAACCTAGTGTGCACCTCACCCCACATCTCTTGGTTCCACCCCCTGCCTTCCTCAACTAGTTCCTGCTTCACATTCCCTCCTGCTCAACAGCTGATGGTTTTAGTAAACTGACTTTGTTAGACTCTCATCTTCCCAAAGTCCAAGTCTGCATTATCCCAGCACCCATGTGATGGCTCACAACCTGTTCCTAATTCCAGATCCAATGCCCTCTTCTGATCGCCTCAGGCACAGGCACAGATGCAGGCAATCACTCATACACATAAAATAAAAATCAGAACTAACTTGGGCTATCTGGGTTAAACTCTTCACCTGTTTCGTTGCATGCTTTAATGCAGTTACTGGGAAATGGTATTTCCATTGGACAGTGCTGCTGCAAATGTTGCAGGTTTCCTAGGATTTGACCTTGCTCCCCCTTCAGCTCTGCCCGCACAATAAAAGCACCAGCACCTGTGCAATGACTCACAACAGGGAAACAGAAGGAGACAGCAGCATATTCAACAGGGGAGCGAGCGTCCAGAGAACCAAGGGAAGCTGAACAAGGAGTCCAAGTCTGACAAGGGAGGACAGCAAAGGCCTGTATTTCAGGTCACTTTGAGGAACTCAGCTCTAGAAACTAGTGTGGCTGCTTGCTTCTCCTTTGAGAGTTATGCTAAGAAGTTTAAACACTTGCTCTGCTCTCATTTTTTCTCAAGTGGCACATTCTATACTGGCAAAGACTTAACCGAGCTCCTATATTATTTTATTTTTTACTTTTTTAAGACAAAGTTTCACCATAAAGCCTTGGCTGGCCTGAAACTATGCAGACTAGTCTGGCCTCGAACTTGACCTGCTTCTATTTCCTAAGTGCTGGGACTAAGGGCCTGCCCCACCTTCCTGAATTCTTCTAAGCCTTAATCTAGGCAAGTGCCGATGGTCTGAAAATAAAAAGTTTCTCTCCCTCTCTCTATCTCTATTTTTTCTGAGACAGGGTTTCTCTGTAGCTTTGGAGTCTGCCCTGGAACTCGCTCTGTAGACCAGGCTGGCCTCCAAATCACAGAGATCTGCCTGCCACTGCCTCCCAAATACTGGGATTAAAGGTGTACCACCACCACTCAGCATAACACTGTTTCTCAAATCAAGGCTAGTCTAACACACATGTCTCTGATCAAAAATAATCGGAAATAAATGCTAATTATATTAAGTTAACAGACAAGGAAATGTTAATGCCAGCAAGAAAACTTAGCAACAAAGTCTGTCCCACTTAAAAAGAAAGCCTACGGAAATTCAAAGTTGAAGCCTTGATTCCATTTAGATAAGCAAAACAAAACTTTGGAAAAGGCATGTATACGTAAAAAGAGCCAATGTGTAAATTTAAAAATACGAACCATTCTATGAGCACTCCTTTCAAAACGTTGACCATTTTTTCCCCAGGCAGATGGTGCAGATGACCTCAAGGATGCTAAGATAAATAAATTTAATTTAATTTTAAAAAGATAAAGTGACATAAAATCCATAAACTTTAACCTACTTTGGGGATTTAGATCTGAGATGAAATAAAAAAAATTAAATGTCAGTATTAAAAAGCTAACATTGAGGCATACAGATAGGCCCATTTATACCAATGGTAAAACAGACTATTTGTAATATTAATAAAGCACAGCTCTGACTTGCAAACAAATTCTACTCGTGGCTAATTAGTCCTTAAAAAGTAAGCTCCAAGGCCGTTAGGAGCCGTGCACGCTTTGAACGTGGAGCAGCCTGGGCTACATAGAGACCGGGACTCAAGGAGCCCAACACGTCCTAACTAGGTTCATTATTCAAATGTTTTCTTTTTACATCCAGGAGAACGATACAAAGGCAAAATTCCGGGGGCGGGGAAGCAGAAATCACGAAATGATACTTCCAAAAAGAGCCTCAAAATCGGTGATCCACAACCTCATTTCACCATGAGACAAAATACCTGGTCAAAGTAGGTAATTTTAATTTACAAATATCTAGGTCTCCAGATTTTGTATTATTTTGAATAAAATAAATTACATCCTCTAAAGATCTGCATCGGAAAGTCCCTGAGTGAGAGCCAACCTACACCCAGGTACGGGAACCTTCCCCTGCAGGAAAACCGTGACACAATGCGTGACGGCCCCGTGACCCCACACCACAGGCCTTAGGAAGGCTGCGGGACTCCGACCGGCCCATAAGACCGGGAGGCTCCGTGTCTTTTCGCCTCCTCCCCTCCTTTTTTCCGATGAGGCCCACGCAACCTACTTCTCCAAGCGGCTCAGAGCCTGCAGTCTTCCTCCGCCCACACGTACAGGAACCGTTGTGGCGTCGCCGACCCACTGCGCCTGCGCCGTACGCGCGTCATCGCGCCCGCGACACTCTAGTGGGTGGAGCGATTTGCTGGGGGCGGGGCACGAGGGCGGGGCCAAGTGCTCGGGGGCGGGATCACGTGCCTACAGCCGCCTTGGAGAGGGTGCAGGTCGCCAGTGGCGGCGGAGGGTGGGCTTTGTAGCCGGCCGTGTCCACCCAGAGCGGAGTCCGTGCACCGGCAGGTAGGACGGACGGGTGGGCGGGCTCGTGGGCGGGCAAGGGCGTCGCGGCAGCTGCGGGCTAGGAGGGCCGTGGGTCTGCACGGACACGGCGCCCTCGGAAGGTCGCGCGGCCCGGAGGGACCCTGTGACCCGCCGCGCTCCTTAGAGCCTGATTCGGGCCCTTTTCTTGAATGATCGCTCAGCTTCTCCGGTTGCTCCTGAGACTCGGAGGAGAGCACCTGCGTGCAGGTGTACCTTTCTATGCTCTGTGATCTCATGAACCACACCTTAGTCATTCAGGCCACATCTTGTACTTCCCTGACCTGGGAGACCTGAATAGTTGGAATGCTAATAGGTTTCTAAACCCAGTAACCGTCATTTTAAGGTGAAGGCCCTTCAGAAGGTTCTGAAGTTAATCCCATTCCCAAATTCTGACCTGTAGTCTTTTTTTTTTTTATTAATTAATAATTTGCATTTGCTTTGGTATTTTGCCTGCGTGTATATCTGTGTGAGGGTGTCAGATCTTGGAGTTGGAGACAGTTGTGAGCTGCTATGTGGGTGTTGGGAATTGAACTGGGGTCCTCTGGAAGAGCACTAGGTACTCAGAGCACCCTAACCGTCTCTCCAGCTCCTGATCTGTGGAGTTGTGTTGTCATCAGTTGAGGCAGGAGGTAGTTGTATCTTCTTGCTCCTTATGTTTACACGTTTAAGCTCATGCTGATTTTTGCTTGACACGTGCCTTCTCCGTTTAACCAGCCTCGCCTTTCCACTTATCTCCCTCTCTCAGTCCCTCAAAATTCTTTTTTTTAAAAAAAAAATTATCGGGGCTGGAGAGATGGCTCAGAGGTTAAGAGCATTGCCTGCTCTTCCAAAGGTCCTGAGTTCAATTCCCAGCAACCACATGGATGGGGTCTGGTGCCCTCTTCTGGCCTGCAGGCATACAGACAGAATATTGTATACATAATAAATAAAAAAAATTATCACATTCATTTATGTATAGTGTATACATATGTATACATACATGTATGCATGTACATGTATGTAGTTTGGGGGTGGCATGTGTGTGCTGCAGTGCTTGAATGGACAGGTCAGAGAACAATTTGAAGGAGTTGGTTCTCTTCCAGCATGTGGATCTTTTGGATGGAACGCAGTTCACCAGACTTGGCAACAAGCAAGTGGCTGCTTTGCCGAGCCATCTTGCCAGCCCTGCTCCCTCAAACTTTTTTTCCTCTTGTTCTTACCCACATTTTTCTGTTGTACTCACTCTTTCAAAATCGCCCCAGGTTTACTCTTCCTGTGTCTTTGTTTTACTTATTTTCTTTCTGCTACAGTAAAAATCCCCAAAGCTCTTTTAAACAGTTACCCAAAGTTATGTGGAAGAGTCAAGAATCTAGAAGAGCTCTTCCTGAGGAGGAGCTAGCTGGGCGTGGTGCCTGGAGCTTAGACTTCTGTCTCTCTGGATGCTGAGGCAGAGGAGACTCACAAGTTGGAGGCCAGCCTGGGCTACATAGCAAGATCCTATATCAAAAAATAAAAATAAAAAAGGGTCAAAGCAGGAGCCCTTTATCACCTAGCTTTGGGACTTGGTGTTTATAGCCCTTTATGACCTAGCTTTGGGACTTGGTGTTTATAGCCAAGCATACGTCTTCCTGTGCTACGTATTTAAGGGTGGAGAGACAGGTCAGAAGGGCGGGATAGAGTCTGGAAGTAGGCCTGTGTTACATGTAGTTGGTTGACTTTTGTGATAAGGTACAGTTATTTGCTGAAAAGAATATTGTTTCAACATTTTATTGGCACTGTTGGATCTCCATATAGAAAAAAGTTCACTTACCATCAAAATACATAAAAATTCAATGTGGCAGCAGTTAAGACCACTGTCTGCTCTTACAAAGGACTCATGCTCCTTTCCCAGCACCCACAGGATGGCTCATGATCATCCATAGCTTCAGTCACAGGGCATCTGACACCCTCTCCTGGCCTTCAAGGTCACTGCACACATGTGGTACGTGTACACGTGCAGGCAAGCACTCATACACACAAATCTTAAGGAAACTTGTAATGGTTTGTCCTGTCCCTTTAAGAGACAAGCCCTGCCCACTCTCTCCCTGTCTGCCGAGGCAGGCAGATCTTTCTTCCTGCTTGCAGCCTGCGTCTCTTCCTTTTTTTTTAATATTTATTTATTTATTATGTATACAATATTCTGTCTGTGTGTATGCCTGAAGGCCAGAAGAGGGCGCCAGACCTCTTTACAGATGGTTGTGAGCCATCATGTGGTTGCTGGGAATTGAACTCAGGACCTTTGGAAGAGCAGGCAGTGCTCTTAACCTCTGAGCCATCTCCCCACCCCAAGAAGCTTCTGCCTCTCTCCATTCTCCTCTTTCCCCGTTCTGTTTCTCTCTCTCTCTCCCTCCCTCCGTCCTTTTCTCCCTCCCTCCCTCCCCTTCTATTTTTCTCCCTCTTCCCTTCCATAACCCACTAAACAAATATCCAACTTCAATCTACATGGTGTGCCTATTCATGTCTCTGTCTCTTGCCTGCCGTGTGGTTCCCTGCCTGGGACCAGCTGCATTCGGAGACCTGCCGCGTGGTCTCATGGCATGCCCATCTGTCCTCCCTCCTTGTGGCCTGCTACAGCCACTCGGAGAATTGCACCATCTCTGTATGGGACTGGCTGCTCTCAGAACCTGCTGTTAGCTGTCTGCCGCTACATGGTCTCCTACTGCCAGTGGGGGACCTGCAGCATTTCTGCCACTGCAGCCGCTGGGAACCTGCAGCATTTTTACTTAATCCATTACAAAGCTAACTTGGAATGAAACATAGACTTAAACATAAAATAGAACACAAAACTGTCTTAGAATTATAAGAAACAATGGCATGATTTAGGCAATGTTTTTTTTTGTTGTTGAGTTTTTGTTTGTTTCTTTGTTTTTGGCTTTTTGAGAGAGAGTTTCTCTGTAACAGCTCTGGCTGTCCTGGAACTTGCTTTGTGGAGAGGATTGGCCTTGAACTCGAGCCTGCCTCTGCCTCCCCCCAAGTACTGGGATTAAAGGCGTGTGCCACCACTGCCTGTGCAGTGGTTTTTCAGGATATAAAATTCAATAACCACAAAGGAGAAGATGTTGATAAGATAGATTCTATCAAAGTTGCTCATTAAAATGTAGTTTTTTTGTTTTTGTTTTTGCTTTTTTGAGACAGGGTTTCTTTGTGTAACAGCCCTAGCTGTCCTGAAAATAGCTCTGTAGACCAGGCTGGCCTTGAACTCACAAAGATCCGCCTGTCTCTGCCTCCCAAATGTTGGGATTAAAGGCATGCACCATCATTGCCTGGTCAAAATGTAGTTTTAAGAAAATAGTCAAGTCACAGACATGGAGAGGATAGTTGAGGGTATCTGTATGTATGTTTGATAGAAGATTTACTTCCAGGATATATAAAGAACTAGGAGCCGCTTGGCAGTAGTAGTGCACGCCTTTAATCCTAGCAGAGGCAGGAGGATCCCTGTAAATTCAAGGCCAGCCTGGTTTACAAAGTGAGTTCCAGGACAGTCAGGACTGTTACACAGAGAAACCCTGTCCCAACAACAACAACAACAAAAAAAACCCTACAAGCCAACTTAAACAGAAAAAAGACTTGAAGGGATATTCCAACAAAAGAATATATGAATGGCTAACATGCTTTTGAAAAGGTGCTCAGCATGGTTGTCTGGAAATTTCACAGTGACTGATATATCTGTAGTATGCCCACTAAGAAGACTAAAAGCAAGTGTCAGCAAGCATGTCAGGCAGTTGGGACCCTTGGCTTTGCTGGGTGCAATATAAAATGTTGCAATTGTGCTTTAAAAACATTGAACATTGTTTTTTTGGCCCAGCTAGCTCACTCTTGGGGCATTTATTAAATAAATATGAAAACATGTCTATAAAACAATGCTCAGAGGAGCTTCCCCAAAATGCCCATGCCACCTTTCCTGGAATATGTGGTTATATTTTATGTAGACAGCAAAGAGAATTTTGAAAGTAGAATTAAGTTTATAGATCTTGAATAGATTTTTAACATGAAAATATGTTCCTTATTTGTTGTTTTATATAGGTATATAATAATGTATTTTCTTCATATTTACTCATTACCTGCTTGTGGTCCCTTCCCAGTCTGTAATGGAAAGATCATCATAGTTATCCGGGAAAGCCTTCTGTATCCATGCAAAGACCCTGAAAGTAGATCAGACAGATCTGGCAAGGATGGGACAAGCTGTTGTCACTTCAGCACTGTAGTGGGCTGTCTGCAGAGCCATTGGGAGGCATTTAGGAGCTAAGGGTGGCTCCTTCATTACCAGCAAAGAAATGGAGATGTCAGTCTTGTTCTAGAGTGCAGCTGAATCCTGCCAACCACCTGCAAGAAGCAAACTCTACCTCAGGTCCACATGAGGATCCCCTGAGATCTTTCAGTAAGGAAAAACACTGTGGTTTCAGTCTTGTGAGACTGAACAGAGACACATTAGGCGTCTAGGAATCCACATTTATTAAGAACCTGTGCAGAACCTGCTCCTAGGTCATATTTTGAATAATAATTTGTAGGTTGTTCATTAAAGTTCTCAGACTTGTGGCCCCAGTGACACGTGTTAGTGAGTGACTGTACCTGTGCAGTAGAACTTTCTGTGGAACTGTGTCACCTTTTGGCCTTACCTTAGTATTTCTTTCTTTTTTTTTTTTTGTAAAGATTTATTTATTATGTACACAGAGTTCAGCCTCCATGCCTGCAGGCCAGAAGAGGACACCAGATCTCATTACAGATGGTTGTGAGCTACCATGTGGTTGCTGGGAATTGAACTCAGGACCTTTGGAAGAGCAGTCAGTGCTCTTAACCTCTGAGCCATCTCTCCAGCCCCACCTTAGTATTTCATAAAGCCCTTAATCTAAATGTGTTAAGTTGGGAATCCCTCCTTACTGCCGCATCCACCCCTTTCCCAGTATTTGCTTTGATGAGTGTTTTCTTACGAACTTAGAGTCCAGGTCAGAGACTGAGAACCTGGCTTATCTTTTGCCATCTCTTCCATGCCACATTCAGCTGTCCATTTTCTTGTCCTTTTGGCTCCTATGTCTGTTTTGTTGATTATTTTCAGAACCACTACCTTAACTTCAGGTACCTTTTCTCCTTAATTATTGTTAGCAGGCTCCGTATTGGCTTTTTCTGTCTCCGTTCCCCCCTTCCCATTTCACTATGTAGACCTGCCTGGCTGTTCTGCAACTCTCTGTGTAACCCAGGCTAGTCTTGAACTCAGAGAGATCTACCTGCCTCTGCCTCCTGAGTGCTGGGATTAAAGGTGTACGCCACCATGCCTGTCTTAAATTTGTTTAATTTAAAATTTAAAAATTTGGCAGTTACTCTATTGCTTGGCATTAGGTAACTGTCAGCATCACGTGACAGAGTGGGCTCAGAATGCTGTGTTGGCACCGACTTCTCCACTCTCCGTAGAATGAACTGATAGAACAACACGAGGGAATCTGAGAAGCACCCAAGATTAATTCCCCTGGTCAGGTGGTGGTGGCACACGCCTTTAATCCCAGGAGGCAGGGGTGCCATAGTACCTGTGTGAAGGTCAGAGGCAGAGGATAGCATGCACGAGTTGATTCTCTTCCCATTGCTAGGACCCCAGGACTGAACTCAGGCTTGGTGGCAGGCACTTTTCCGTCACTGAATCATCTCCTTGGCAACATCTTAGTTTTTCAGAAAGGGTTTCTCTCTAAACCTGGAGTTGACCAATTTGGCTAGACTTGCTGGCCACCAGCAAGTTCCAGGAAGCCCCTGTTGCTTCCACAGTGCTGGGGTGATAGGCACATGCTGCTGTCCAGGCTTGCCACATGCTTCCAAACTCATGTCTCCATGCTTTTCTTGTGAACATTTTACTGGCTGAACCATGTCTAGAGCTTTGGAAATTGAAACTTTTAAGTCCAACGCTTGAGCCCATCAAATGGAATTATCTGTGTTAGTCTATGGAGATGTGTTACACTGTACTATATATGGATCAGAGCACACAGGACTCCCACAGGAAACAGACCCACAGAGATGAGCTCTTGATCAAAGATGTTAAAACCTGAGTCAAACATACCACCACATAGGCAGCCCCAGAGTTCCAACACAGAGATTTCTATCTACAAAAAGGGCTCAGGTGACAGAGCTAAGTGGAGCTCTGTGAGTTAGAGGCCAGCCTGGTCTACATAGTGAGTTCCAGGACATCCAGGACTATGTAGAGAGACGCTAGCTATTTAAAAAGTTTATAAAATATAAAGGCATACTTGAAGCTGTGTGCATTAGCTTGTTGTGGTATCATGGACCATCCCAAGACCTGATGGGCCAGACTGCCGTTCATTACTCAGCAGTCAGAAGATCTGTAGCATCGGTCCAGGGCTCGTTAGACAAGAGCAGCCTCACTTGCCAGGCCGCTAATGCTGGCCGCTTAGTGGGAATTTGCTGCTTCTCTCCATGGCTGTTGGACTTTATTTATCAAGGGCCCACATGCATTATGCATGCTTCTGGTCTTTAAAAGGATATTTAAAAACATTAAATGTCCATATTGGGATTCTACTTAATAACTTAAAATTTCCTGCTTTCCTATTAATCACTACTCACAATTGAACACAACTTGAAGAATAATGAAAGTGCTAGCAAAATTTATCTGGTTTGTTTTTAGGATTGAAACCCCCAGTTCAGATGTTTGTTGAGTTTTGAGTCATCTAACTGCGGGCAACCCACTGTGATAGTGACTTGTGCTTAGGGTCAGAAGAAAGGGTCTGACCTTATATCTACACCAAATGACCCTTGCTACATTGCTTTCCACCCAGGATGTCCCTCGGTGCCTATTGTGTCATCTGTTGCAGAAGAATAGGAACCTCTGCTTCCCGTTTAAAAAGTCGCACATCCTGGAGAAACATCCGTGAGTACAGTTCAAGGAACAGCATTTTCTAATAGAAACCGTGAGGAGCTGGTGGTCACTTTCCTGGAGTGCCTTGCAAACTGACAGCCCAGTCTGACTCTGGTTCGCTTCTGTCCTCTGTGCTGATGAGTCCCTGCTGCATTTGTAAGCCCAGACCCAGACAAGATCTTCTTTTCCGAACTTCTTTCTTCCCGTTGTCCTGCCAGTTTGCCCTCTTTTCCAGCTTAAGCAGTGCCGTGTTCTCATTTGGCAATGCTTACCGAGCCCCCGCAGAACTGGAAACCTCCACCAGGTTCTGGGATACAGTGCTGAGCAAGAATGTTCTCCTTGCCCTGTGGTGCCGTGGGATCTGCTGTGATCCGCTCCACACTGTTGCCTGGCACCTTAAGCCAGGGTAGATCCACCATTTGCCATTTAGTAGAATCGGTATAGAACTTGGTTAATTATCTGATTCTCCCATAGACAAACTTGGAGTGCAGTGTCTTGTTTGTTATTCTAACCCATTGCTACTGTCATCTACGGTATGCAGAAGGTATCTCTCAGTGTTGGAATAGAAGGATGAAAAACATACCCTCCTCCTGCACTGGTTCTTTTCTTTGTATAACAAGGGTGAAATATTTGTGTTCACTGTGAATATGTGTCTTTGCCAAGGTACCTTCTGATTGGTTTAATAAAGAGCTGAATAGCCAATAGCTAGGCAGGAGAGGATAGGTGGGACTTCCCAGGAGAGAGAGAAGGTGGAAAAGGAATGATGCCAGAGAGACACTGCAGAGGTCAGGCATACAGTACAGAGTCTAGACAACTGAGCCACATGGCAGAATGTAGATTAATAAAAGCAGATTAATTTAAATGATAAGAGCTGGTAAGATAAGCCTAAGCTAATGGCCAAGCTTTTATAGTTAAGTTTCCATGTCCTTGTTTGGGGACTAGCAATGCAAAGATAGTCCTACAATAAAGCTGGCTGCAAACACCCTTATTTATTTGACGATAAACATTTATTGACCATCTGCTCTGCACTAGGCGCAATTTTTCAGCCTTGACATGACAGTGTTAAATAAGGTGAAGTCCCTGTCCTTAAGCTCTTTCCTTTGAAGCTTTAAGATAGACCCACTGGAGTTGGGTGTGGTGGAGTATGCCTAGCACTCAGAAGAGAAAGGCAGATGGATCTCTGAGTTTAGGGCCAGTCCCAAACATAGAAAGCGGGCTAGCCAGGATGACATAGTCAGATCCTGTCTCCCCAAACAGAACTAAACACAGATATCTGCTGGGCTGGCAGGGCGGCTCAGAGGGTGAGAGTGGTTGCTATACAAGCATGAAGGTCTGAGTTCAAATCCCTAGAGCCCATATGAGTAAAAAGCTGGGTGTAATCCAGGCACGTGTAACTCCAGCAGTGAGGGTTTGGGGCAGAGGTAAGATCACTGCCTGCCTTGCTCCAGGTTCTGTGAGAGACTCTGTCTCAGCAGAATAAAGCAAAGAGAAAGATAGATGCCCTCCTCTGGCCTCCCATGCATGAGAGAGGACATGCATTCACACACACACACACATTTCTAGTTTTGCAGTAATTTTTTTAATCTAGGGAATTCTGATTCTGAATTTTAAATACAAAAATAAGCAGGAGCGGAAAAGCAAACTTTTCACTTTCATTGTCTCAGTTTCCCAGTATAGCAAATTTCAGAGTATCGCGTTTACCCTTAGTGGAGGAGAAAAGGGAGGAATGGCCATGAAGATTGAAAAGAAACATTCTAGGTGCTGGGGGATGTAGCTAAGGAGAAGAGCCTGTGCCCAACATGCACGAGACCTTGAATTTGATGCCCACAGTGTTGAGAGGCACATTGTTTGATGCCCAGTAAGAGGTCACAGGGGGTAGCAGTAGAGAAGAAAACCTTGGGCACTCCCTGAATCTCCATTTAGAGCCAGAAGAAGACACTAGAAGGTCATCTTGGAGTCAATACTGTCCCAGAGAGTCAGTCAGGAAGCTCCGTGTCTTACTCCTTGTAGACCTTCTCATCCCTGTTCTTGACCTGCTGTGAAGGCTCATGAGTCTGTGGGGAAGTGTCTCCCTTCCAGACCTCCATTGTGTCTGACTTCAGTGTGGAGCATAGCCAATCTTCCTGTTCAACAGTCTAGGATTTGAGTATTTTGGAATGAGTGTGTATTGAATATCAACTGTCTGCCAATAATATTTGACTGCCAATAAAATATATACTTAAAAATGTTTCCAAAGTACAAACAAAAGTTTATATTTTTGTTGCCTATATTTTAATTGGGGCCATGTGATCTCTGGTGCTTAAACGATCAAGTATACCACAGTTATTTGGGGGAAAAGTCATTTTACTGTTCCCACTTGACAGACAGTCCCTCTGTAGAGTCTGAAAAGCTTGGTGAGCCCACCTTAGCTTTAGCTGCAGATCTTCCTGGTGGTCCACTCTGGAAGTCTGTGACCCTGCTGTACAACACTGGCACGGGGACCTGCATTCCCAGTGATTTGGCTTGGGGTAGCATAACAGGAGCTTGAAGGAAGGAAGAGTCATGTTCTACTCAGTGCTACCGTGTATTATAGTTGCTCATAATGAATATATTTACTCAGTGCTACCATGTATTATAGTGGCTCATAATGAATATAATATGTAATGTAATATGTTACCTATATAACAAAAATTTAACTTTGGCCCAGTTATGCTCAAAAGGTTACACTGTTGCCTATTTCTTGTCATACTTTTAAAAATGAAATTACACTGAATTTTCCTCTTTCTTTTTGAAGGGAATATAATAAGATTTACCGGATCCTTTATTTTAGGGTAAGTAGCAGTGAACAGTTAATGGCTTCATGATACCACTCTTGGAAATCTTAACAGAAGTGACTTAACATGGAGTAGCCATGGATGTGTATTGTCAGAAGGTTGAACATGCCTTTGTAGAGGAACACGTGTACATATTTATAAAATGTGTAGCGCATTGCATGCAGTAGGTTCAAATTAAAAATGCCCTAAGTGTTTGCAGGAGAGCAGGTAAATAAGGTGTGGTAGGCATATTTATGTCTCAGGACCATGTGTACAGACTAGAGTGGGGGTGAGTCACATGAGCATAAGGCTGAATGAAAGAAGACGTCTAGCCTGGGTATTCACAGTCAGGCCAGACAGAACATTGTTTAAGGATGCACACACAGGTAGCACACACATGATGAACAGCAATGGCATTCTGGTTATTACTGCTGATTAGCCATGAAGGAATGCGAGAACACGCTTTAGGGTGCTACTAATCTTCTATTTCTTCCTTGAACGTAACCGTGCAGCCGCTTGCTGTTAAACTGAGATGAATGTGTGCACATTAAGTATATATGTGTGTGTGTGTGTGTGTGTGTGTGTACACACACATGTAAAATGACACTTGTGTGTTACCGTAGGCTATGTTTCCTAGTAAAATAGAAAACAGTTTACTGTTGGGTCATATTTAGATCCTGATTTATAAGGAACTTTTTGTTTCTCTTTAGGGGTTCTTTATTTCTTACTTATGAAGTTCTGGCCCTGAAGAAGTCTTTAACATTAGACACTCAGGTGGTAGAAAGAGAAAAAATGAAGTCTTATATCTATGTGCACACAGTTCCTGCAGACAAGTTAGAAACTCATGGTAAGTTAACTCCATCTTTCTAGAACAGAAATGGGTTTGTTTAGAGTCTAGTCCAGGGTAGGCTCAGCCTTCTGGAAGAGTCGGCAGAGCCTGTGCAAGACAGACTCCACGAGTCTCCTTCACTGTTCTGTTGCCGTGAAGAGACATCATGACCAAGGCAAGGCACATAAAGGGGAGCATTGACCTGGGGGCTTACAGCTTCAGAGGGCGATTCATTGTCATCTTGGCAGGGAGGGAGCATGGTGGTATGAAGGCATGTGCTGGAGTAATAACCAAGAGCTACATCTTGATCCGGAGACAGGCAGAGACTGGGTCTGGCATAAGTCTTTGAAACCTCAAAACCCACCCCCAGAGACACACTTCCTCCAAGGCCACACCTCCTAATCCTCCTAATCCTATCAAGCAGTTCCATACCCTGGTGACTAAGGACTCAAATAGATGAGCCTATGGGGGCCACTCTTATTCAAGCCACATTAACTGATGACCAGATTTGGGGCTTCTATGTTTCCCCAAGTCTTTAGCTCCTTTAGAACACAGTAAGAACTGACTGAGCCCTGTGTCTGACTCTGCCTTCTTTCTTCAGTGGGGCCTTCAGCTCAGTTTGTTAAATGCAAATGCTTGTTTTGTCATTTAGCTCAGAGACCATCTGTAAGGGTGACTCATGCAGCCAACTCATGAAACAGATTGAGAAGTATGAATTCAACTGTTTTACCGCTGCCATGTGTTACAAAGGCCGAGCGGTCTGTGGATGCCAGTTAGGACATCCCCTTCTCAGTGCCAAGGTTGCTTGCAAGCAGAGGGGAGTCTTTTCTTTAGCTCTGGGCAGCCTGGTGAGCCCCCACCCCACCCTGCCTCGCAGCTGTCTCTCCTAGGATGTCAGCGTCAGTCATGCGCCTGTGAGCAGGTTGCAGCCCCTGTGCCCTCTGACCCGTCGTTATCAGCACACCTCCTTTACTGCATCACCTCCCTGGACTTGGGCATCCACTGGGGCTGCTTACACTTTCTGTTGTGTAGACTGAGCTGCCGAGGCTCAACCTCATTCTTAAAGCATTTTCCAAGTTCAGTTCTAGGTCAGCTATTTACAAGGAAGATTCTTTCGAATATTAGTCAGCTTCTGTTATTCAGGAGGCTTTCTATAGTGCTGTTCTCATTCTTTTCACATTTTCTCCTTGACCTTGTCCTGGAGCCCAGAGCATTCTGTGTTCCCATAGTAAATACTTGCTTTTAATAGTGACTTTAACAAGTCACAGGTTTTTCTTTTCTTCTTCTTTTTTTTTTTAATGTTCTTTGCTATTAACTTTGGGACCTGGTTTATGTATTTCTTTTTGAAGTATTGGAGCGTGATATTGGTCTTACTTGCTGCCATCATTTTAGGGCTTGTTTGGCAGGCAAGAAAAGAACTTCACAAAGCAGTAAGAAAAGTGTTGGCAGCATCAGCCAGGGTACTGCGGAACCCATTTTCTGGTACGTGTAGACACGGGTCCTCATCAGTGGGCTGGTACATATAGACACGAGTCCTCATCACTGGTCTGGTACGTGTAGACACGAGTCCTCATCACTGGTCTGGTACGTGTAGACACAAGTCCACATCACTGGTCTGGTACGTGTAGACACATCCTCATCATTGGTCTGGTAAGTGTAGACACAGGTCCTCATCACTGGTTTGGTCCGTGTAGACACGAGTCCACATCACTGGTCTGGTACGTGTAGACATGAGTCCTCATCACTGGTCTGGTATGTGTAGACACATCCTCATCATTGGTCTGGTACGTGTAGACACATCCTCATCATTGGTCTGGTCTGTGTAGACACGAGTCCGCATCACTGGGCTGTACAGTGAACCCAAGACTAAAAATGACCACATGAAAGATAACATAGAATATTAAAAGTATACGGGTAATGCTTGTAGTAAATGTAAAAAATTAATATGAAAGAGCTAAGATCAGACATTTGGTCATCATCTGTATCTGCATTTAATGCTCCATTACAATTTCCAACTAATTACAAGTTACTATCTAATACAACAGTGAACATAAAGCCATTTTGAAGCTGGGAAGATGGCTCAATCCGTAAAGTGCTTGCCCTTCACATGTGAGGATCCTAACCTAGACCATCCATTAAAAAACAGTAACTGAAGCCCACGACTGTGGTCTCAGTCCTTGGGAGGCAGAGACAGGAGGATCATGGGGATCACTACCAAGCAGGCTTGGCGAGCTGCTTCAGTGAGAGGCTCTGATTCATAAACGGTAGATGCATATGGTGTACGCATGTGCACACACATCCAGTATACAGATGCACAAATGCCGTCTTAACTGTTTATATCGCCATGTCCCTTGTGTGTGTGAAGACTCTTTCAGCACGGTTGACATAGAAGATCATGACTGCGCAGTGTGGCTGCTCCTGAGGAAGAGCCGGGAGGATGACAGAGCCGCACGACTGGAGGCTGTGCAGGAAATGTCACAGGCACACCACTGGCACGGTAATGAGGACCGGGCTCGTGGGTTAGCCACCTCTTGGTTCCTGCTGTAACAGAGGAGGGGAATGGGGCTAAGGAAGGAAAGAGTCAGGCAGTCTTAACATGGAAACACATTCTCTCTCTCTCTAAAAATTCCATGCGAACCTGGAAGTCTGCTGATCTGGCAGTCCAAGTGTGGTTGGTAAGACAGCTCCTGAACTGAGGCTTGCTCTACCAGAACAAGATTGACAAGATTGGACTGCTTCACTGAGAGGAAAGAAACTGCTAATTCTGAGTTAGCAGTTTTCACATTTGAACATCAGGTTTTTTAAAACGTCAATCAGAGCATGACCTGGAGTGTTGAGGAGAATTGTCTGATTGGTGGTAACTGTGAGCCATGTTGGGTGTTGAGCTTCCAGATACTGTAGGTATAACTGAGTTAGGAAAAATACTTGGGAAATTTGGGGTTACAAAATTATAGAACAGTTAACCTTGTGATAACTTTGAGTTAATCTTTCCCAACAGACTATCAGTACAGGGTGATTGCTCAAGCCTGTGACCCGAGGACCCTTATCGGTTTGGCACGAAGCAAAGAAAGTGATCTTCGTTTTTTTCTCCCACCCCCTCCTTTGCCGTCTTTAAAAGAAGTAAGCAAGGGAGTGAAAAGGTCTAGTGTGTATTTCTAGTATGGGTGCATATAGTGATAGTTCATTTGTATTTTAATAATAAAGCTTGCCTGAAGATCAGAAAGTAAAACAGCCCTGCAGGTCAGCCTTACAGACCAGGCAGTGTAACACACACTCTTAATCCCAGTAGCCACACTAGTTTGCCATAGAAACCAGGTGGTAGTGGTGCATGCCTTTAATACCAGCCATAGAGAGGATTATAAAACAGGAAGAGACAGCTCTCACACAGTCTCATTCTGAGATTGCTGGAGGCAGGATCACCATTTCAGACTGAAGTAGAGGTAAGAGCCAGTGGCTGGCTGTTTTGCTTTTCTGACCTTCAGGTTGAACCCCAATATCTGTCTCTGGGTTTTTATTAATCGTGCTACAGGTGCAGATAGATAGAACTGGTGCCCAACTCTGAAGAACAGGTGAACCGGAAGCAGAGCCGAAATCCTAGTTTCCACAGAGCTGTGACCCTCACACTGCCTTTTTCTGCCTTTGTGGGTTGAGTCTGTTCTGCTAGGTTCTTCCATAGCATGTCAGCACTCAAGAGAGGGTGTCTTGTGTAAGTTTTGTGTTGCTGTTTTGTTTTGATTTTGATTTTTTCAAGACAGGGTTTCTTTGTGTTGAACTGGCTTTCCTGGAACTCTCTCTATACCAAGCCACCACCTGCCTCTGCCTCCTGAGTGCTGGGATCGTTTTGTTTTAAGGATTTACTATGTCTTTGTACCTAGATATATATATGCATGTGAGTCCAAGTGTCCAGGGATGTTGCAAGACGGCAACAGATCCCCAAGAGCTGGAGTGACGGGTAGTTGTGAGCCACCAGGCCTGAGTACTGGGACCCAGATTGGGGTCCTCTGCAAAAGCAATGCATGCTCCTAACTGCCAAGTCATTCCTCCAGCCCACCTCGTTTTTTTATAGAGCAGATTTTTCCCATCCTGAGCACTCTTGACATCTTAGATCAAACATTTAGCAGCATTCCTAGACACTGCTCCTAAGATGCAAGGAGTCCCCCAAGTTGTAACAAGGAAAATTGTCTCCAGGCATTGCTAAATATGTCCTCGGGATTAAATACCCTTGGTGAGAACCGTGGCCAGAAGCCTGCTCAACTGCAGATGTCTTGTGTACCTTCCTTAGATGAGAACACAAAACTGAAGCTTTGATATCAACAATCATTTGAAAAATAGAAAAGTGAATATATAATTAATTATCATGAAAAATGAAAGATTAACAAGCACCAGGCTTAATGATATCTTTAATTATAAAGGATAGAGTCCATTTTGAGTCACGCTAACAAAAAGTCCCTAAGGTAAAAATAGAGTTACAATTTGCATCAGTCCTTTTTATTTTTCATTTATTTTTAAGATTTTATTTTATATGTATGTGTGGCGCCTGCATATAAATCCTTACACTACATATATGCTAGAGGCCAGAAGAGGGCAAGCAGTCTCCTGAACTGGAGTTACAGGTGGTTGTGAGCCATCATGTGGGTGCCGGAACCAAACCCATATCCTCTGCAGAAGTCGCTAGTGCTCTTATTATTAAGCCGTCTTTCCAGCCCTTGTAGTAGGTGTTTAAGTGTGACAGCAGGCAAGGCAGCGTAGAAGCAGAAATAAATGATTATGTACTTTCCACTGTTCATCCTTTGTGCTTCCTTTATGTGTTTCTTGGCTCTGACTCTTGGGTGTTCTGTATGAAGACTTTGTTTTTGCCTTTCATTTCAGGATTCCTCCACTGAAGAGGAACTCAGGCATTTGCTGGCTTCTTTACCTCAGACAGAAATCGATGAGTGTCTCCAGTATTTTACTTCCTTGGCTCTTAGTGAAAGCAGCCAGAGCCTGGCTGCGCAGAAGGTTTGTTATATCTTATTCAGCAAGTGGTTTGAGCTCCCACCTTTTCCCCACACTGCTGGGGCTAGCTTTTAGAACCTCGGTCACTTCCAGTTATGGCGGATCAAACCTGCCTTCCCTTGAGCCAGCCCTCACCCTCTGGCCTTTACCTCATTTGCTTAAGTTACAGCCTGGCCAGCCACTCAGTCCTTCGTGTATGCAGCCTCAGCAGTTGCTAGCCGTTGCTGGGCACACGTTGAGTCTGTTCACCCTGACCATCTACAGCTCTTAGACATCTCTGCAGCATTGTCTTCTGTTTCTTCTTTCACTTCCTCGTTGGTTTTAAAATCTCCTCCAGATTCTTGTATTAGTTCCCCGTTAGGGTGCTGGTTCCCGTCTGTGCTGGTGCTGGCTCTTCCTTGTGGCTGTGTGCCTTTGGACCCCAGCTCCACTCTTGGATAACCTGACCACTTGCCAGCGAGCTCTGAGCACCTCGAAGGATAGATTTGTCCCCATAGAGCAGGGTTTTTCCTCTTTCTTTGAAGGTCTCTTGGCATTTTCCCTCTTGAAGAAAGGAATTCTGTGGAGGGACACATAAATTGTAAGCAAAAATTAAGTAAGAAGAAACAGAGACAGATAGAGACAGAAAGACACACAGACGTGCGTGGCAGGAAGAGCAGAGGCAGTCATAGCACAGTGGGCTGTGTTGTGGATTTTAAAGAAATTTTTATGATTCATAAAGTTGGTGGTATAGTCACGGGGTAAGGTAACCTTTCCTCCTCCTACATCATGGTGGACAAGAGCCTACAAAGAGAAGGCACGCAGTCCCTTTGTTAGTGCACACGTGCGGGAAGATGCCTGATGCCTGTCTGACTTCAGGGACATATAACCACAGGTGGACATTCTGAACACCACGGGCACAGCTGCCAGAAACAGCTGTCGCTTGGCGGCCTCGTACCCAGCTCGCTTTGAGGCTACTCAAGGACCACGATGGGTCTGATAGTCTTTTGGTCAAGACATTTTGTTAGTTTTAAATTGAGGCTTCACACTGAAGGCTGGGGCCAGTGCTTTACACAAAGCAGAGTGGAGGCTGTGTGTAGGATTCTCTTCTCCCAGCTCCACCACTCGGTCTGTCTTCTCCCTAACACTTGATGGCAGCTTTTCCATTCCCTCGTAGAAGGACGTTTCGAGTCCTACAGGCCCTAAGAAGTCATCATCTGTACTGAGCACAGCTGAGGGCCTACGGGCACTTGACATCCTCAGCCCTTGCTCACCTCCTAGGCGTTATGCCGTCTCCAGTTCTAGCACTGAGGGTTTCTCTTGATTTCTTTTTTTCCCTTAGAGCTCATCTGTCTGTGTCTAATAGCACTTGAAACATCTTACATATTTTCCTAGCTGCCTGCAGTTTCAGCTCATTGTAGCCAGAGTAATCTTAACACACCTTAGTAAGAACAGCTCTTGTCCCTGCCTAAAGCCATCCAGAGGCTTCCTCTGCGTGTTAAACCAAGCACTATATGTTTTATGTTGAAGGCATGCATAGACTATTTACAACTGTGGCTGCCTTCAGGTCGGAACCAAGTTAGCAGAACTGTCCAGTAGACAGTTGCAGGACGGAAAGCCGGTCCAGTGGCACAGGGTATGAAGGCTGCTGAGTTCTTCACACAGTCAGTGGGCCAGGCTGGGCTGTAGTCTCATCAGTGTTGACCGTGCTCCTTGGGATTACATGATGCTGTGTGTTAGCATGTCAGCATGACTCTGCATACCGGTCATAGCCCTTAGTCTCTAGCAGTACTTGCCATTCTGTTTTGTCATTTAACATATGTGTGTATGTGTACATGTATGTACATGTGTGTACCCCGGTCAATATCAGGCATCTTTGGCTATTTCTTTTCACCTTAATTTTTGAGACTGTGTCTTGTTGAATCTGCAGCTTGACAATTCAGCTAGATGGGCTAACCAGCAAGCTCCTGGGGTCTGGGTGTTCTCCCCCTCTTGTACCCAGAACTGAGGTCACAGATGTGCACTGCCTACCTGTTTTTTATGTGGATGCTGGGGCCTGAACACTACCCACTGAGCCGTCTCTCAGCCCCCTAGCTCTACTTATCTTAAACGCGAGCTTCACTTTTAACTGGGAAGGATCAGGAGCCATCATGCCTTTAATATTTCTGTTTGGTAGTGCTTTTCCATTAAAAACTTAGTAGTTTTCAGTTGACTCCGCTACCATAATCTGTATGAGTTAGTAAGAGCTGGGGACGACACCAGAGCGTTCGAACCAGGGGGTGAGAATTGAGTTTGCAAGGAGAGGACAGGAATGGAGATGGAAAAGGATGTCAGAATTGTCCTGGGAGTCCGCTGTTGTGTTTCCTATTCTAATAAACAATAGAGGTGTGCATAGCATCCCCTTTAAGTACCCTGAATGTTTATGTATTTGGAACATGATTTGCATGTATTACCCAGGGTTAGCCAGCAGCTGAGTTTGTGAACCGTTTGTCTTAACTTCAGGGAGGACTGTGGTGCTTTGGAGGAAATGGGCTTCCTTATGCGGAAAGCTTTGGAGAAGTTCCCTCAGCCACAGTGGAGATGTTCTGCCTGGAAGCTATAGTAAAGCATTCAGAGGTAAATTGCATTCCAAAATATGGCTTCTCATGGTTGCTTGGACACAAATTTGGGAGGGGGAGAGGTGGAGAGGAGGATCTCGGGGGAGTAAGCAGTAAATATGACCAAGTACATTATATGCAGGTATGAAATTCTTCATTAATAAAAATATTATATTTAAAAAATTCCACTTTTAACTGTTAGAATTAGTACATATGGTAGAGCACCAATACATGACTTTCATTTTTATTACATATTTAATTTTTTAAAAATTTTATTACATTCATTTTTTTTACATTCATTTTTTTATATGGATATTTTGTCTGCATGTATGTCTATGTACCATGTGCATGCCTGAGGCCCTTGGAGGCCAGAAAAGGGCACTGGATTCTCTGGAACTGGAGTTACAGTGATGAGCCACTATGTACGTGCTGGGAATTGAACCTAGATCCTCTGTAGGAGTGGCAACCAGTGCCATTAACTGCTGAGCCATCTCTCTAGTCCCTTATTACATATTTTAAACAGTTTTTAATTGTATATAAAGGAAGTATCCATGCTATAACATGACATTTATCTTTGATTCATGCTATCTTCTCCTTTGCCCAGATCATTTTACATACAGCATCAGACGGCTAATGTCCATAAGATATCTGTAGATGACAGAATTAGATGGCTAACTCCATAAGACATCTGTAGAGACAGCGTCAGACGGCTAACTCCATAAGACATCTGTAGAGACAGTGTCAGACAGCTAACTCCATAAGATACCTGTAGAGACTCAGCCTCAGACGACTAACTCCATAAGATACCTGTAGAGACAGCGTCAGACAGCTAACTCCATAAGATACCTGTAGAGACTCAGCCTCAGATGGCTAACTCCATAAGATATCTGTAGAGACAGTGTTAGACGGCTAACTCCATAAGACATCCGTAGAGAGGAAAGGGAAATACTGAATGGCTATGCAGCTGAGTTATAAGTCCTGGTGGTTTGGAGGTATTTTGGCATGGTGATTGTCACGGTTTGCTTATTTATTAGACAGCATCTTGCTATGTATCCTGTGTAGCTGCATGCCACAATGCCCAGCTATAGTTTGATTTTTAAGTAAACAAAATGGCAAAAAGCCTAGTGGTACCCACAGGTGAAGTGGGTACCATCACCTAGGGAACATGTTCGACACAGTGTCCAATTGCCTGTGATATTTAAACGAAGAAGATCTGGTGTGGGGTGTAGGAATTGCAACTACCATTGGCATCCTTACCCACATCTGCAGAAGCACTGTCTTCAAGGTTCTGAGCTCGCTACTGTAACCTGAGAGCATTAGACCTGACTGAAATGCATGCCTATGTTTAGTCCTCTTTGATTCCCACCTGCAGAATGGAAGCGAGGCAGGAATAAGGGACTGCGGCATTGCGGCACAGGAGGGGATGTGGGAACTCACCCTTTGAGGGTGTGAAGTGACCAGCGCGATGTAACGGGAGCTCTGTTACCTTGTGCTAGATACCCTCACACTGTGACCACATTGAAGCAGGCGGGGGCCTGCAACTGCTGCAGAGGCTCTACCAGCTTCACAAGGACTGCCCCAAAGTACAGAGAAACATCATGAGGATCATTGGAAACATGGCCTTGAACGAGCATCTTCACCCGGCCATAATCCGCTCAGGTAACAGCTTTGTGTGTACCGAGGATGCTGGGTCCAGCCCCTGTTCTCCTGACACCTCACTTCATGCTACATTAATTTTTCAATAGACCTAAACCTCTTAGGGTTTTCCTGGATCCTTTCTAGTATGTTGTTTGGGTAGCGACAGGGATTGCTGGGGTTGTCAGTCCATACTGAGGCGTCAGCATGGAGAGCCATCCTAGGTGAGCAGGCTTTGGCATGAAGATCGTTGAACTGTTGATGTGGTTTAGTTAACCAAGAGGCAGACAGTAAAGACCCACTGTAGAACTAATGCATTTCCTCTGCAGCCTGGGAGCTGCCCTGGAGGAGACGCACATTTGCCGGCTTCCTTTCTCACCCACTTTCTTCCTTCCCTCCCTCCTAGCAAGATGAACTCACAGATTTCTCTTCAAAGAGTTTTTAAGCTTTATAGTTTATTATTGTACTTAATAAACCAGTGCTAAATTATCTCATCTTTGGTTAGTGGGGTCCCAGAAAACTGATATACACATTCTACATACATATGGTGCGTGTGTGTGTGGGTGTGTGTGTGTGTACATACCTGTATTAGTTACTTTGCTGTTGCTGCCATAAAATACCATGACCAAGGCACCTTAAGGAATAAAATTTATATGACTTATGGTTCCAGGGGATGGGAGTCTGTCATGGCAGGGATTCAGGGCAGCAGGAGAAGGAAGCTGAGAGCTCACCCCTGAGCTGGAAGCAGGAAGCAGGGGGCGTGAACTAGATGTGGATCAAGACTGTTAACAACCAAAGCCCACGCCCAGTGTAGGCATTCTCCAGCAAGACCACACCCCCTAACCCCCACAAACAGTACCACCGGCTCTCAAACATACAAGTCTATGGGGCCATTCTCATTCAGACGACTCTAGCACATGCGTAAGCGTATATGCACATATACACATCCATACTGTCCGGGCTAGTGTTCTGTGTCAGCTTCGCACAAGCTCAAGTCACCAGAGAAGAAGTCGCAGCTGAGGAAAGGCCTCCATGAGATCCATAGTGCTCAGTGCGGGAGGGCCTAGTCCATGGTAGGTGGTGCCATCCCTGGGCTGTTGGTCCTGGGTTCTATAAGATGGTAGGGTGAGCAAGCCATGCTAAGCAAGCCAGTAAGCAGCTCCCCTCCATGGCCTCTGCATCAGCTCCTTCCTCTAGGTTCCAGAGTTCCCGTCCTGACTTCCTCCAGTGATGGGCTATGATCTGGAAGTGTAAACCAAATAAACCCTTTCTTCCCTAACTTGCTTTTTGGTCATGGTGTTTTGTTGCAGCAACAACGGTGACCCTAACTAGGACACGTATACATACATAGACATATATTCATACATAAATGAGATAGACACACATATACCTTTGTACACACACATATTAGAAACTATGAATTGACCCTTAAGATGTTATGATTGTTGCTCTTACTCCTAACCCTGCCTGGGACTAAAGGCATGCGTGAATATTTTGGCTGTATATAGGTCTGTGCACCACATGCATACCTGATGCTATGGAAGCCAGGACCTGGGACTGGAGTTACAGACAGTTGTGAGCTGCCTTGGGGGTGCTGGGAATTGAACCTGCTCCTCTGGAAGAGCGCCAGTGCTCTTAACCACTGATCTGTCTCCTCAACCCCAGACCAGTGGATTTTAATTTTAATAAAATCAAATCCAGAAATCAAAAAACTTTCTGAGAAGCGTGAAATGGCCCAAACATTCACCTTTTAGAACATCCGTGAGTTTTGACAACTCCTAGAAAGTATTTGTTTTTCCTTCCCCCTTCATAATTGTGTTCATTCCCTCTCTCTCCTCCCGCCTCCAGGCTGGCCTTGAACTCACTCTAGCTCCTGATAGGCTTGCCCTCCCCACTGAGTGAGGACTCGTAGCCATGTGGCACTGTTTTTTTAATAGCTTTCTAAGGTACAGATTTGAGCCTCGCTTGTTTGTTTGAGCTGTAACAAGATTTCTGATTTGTACATGTGAGAAGCGTGGGCCCTGGGGCAGACCCAGAGAACAGCTGCTAGCATGTGCTGCTGCTGATCTTTGTTGCAGATGTGCTGAGGATCCATGAGGCTGGGAGTAGTCCCATTAATAACAACGTATTATTCTCAAACACTGCCAGGATAGATGCCGAGTGTTCTCAGTTCCAGAAAATGGTATGTGTGCAATGCACACTGAACAGGCTTTAGGACGGTACAGTGGCTGGTGAGGTGACTCAGTAGGTAAGGGTTCCCGCTGCCAACCCTGATAATGTGAGTTCTGTCCCCAGAACTGACTCCACAAATTGTCCTGACCTCCAGATGCAGCCTGCTCTCACATGCATGCATACAAAGTACAAATCATGTTGCATGCCGCTGCTCTCACACACAATTGTTATTTGTAAAGTAAAATATAAAGTTTGCAATGGGGCTGGAGAGATGGCTCAGCCATTACAGGCTAAGGCTCATGACCAAAAAAAGACAAAAAAGAAATATAGTCAAGAGAAGAAGTAAAAAATTCCCAGAAGAAAATGAAAGTTGCTGTTTCTGTCAGACTGCCCCGGCCCTCCCTACGGCAGCTGCCGTAATTCTGCTCATTAACTGAAGTTTGGGCCATGTTCTGAGGGAAGATGTGCACCTGCTCCGTGGGTAGCCCAGCTGTGGGGTGGGAAGGGACACATGAGCGTGCCCTCATACAAGCCAGGTGCTGATTGGTGGCCCCAGGCCGGGAGAGCATCCGAGCTTTAGTAACTCCACAGCACAGCGCATAAGGGACAGGGACTTGACCCCAAGTCTCTGACCTCGAGGCCCGTATTCGGCTTTAAGTCGTATGTATGTATACACATGAAATACAAGTAGGTACTTGTACGTACTTACGATAGATACAGCAAAAACAGTTCAACCTGCCTGTTTTCAGAGCCCGCTTCCGCTCACTTGCCTCCTGAGGTCATGACCACTGATGAGCTCGGTGTCGTGTCTCTCCAGACCTTTGTGTTCCTGTGTCTGTGTGTGCACACATGTACTTCCATACATATGTATGAAATCATACTGTTATCCATACTTTCTTTTTAAAATAATTTTTAGAAATAATAGTATTTTTCCTTTCTGAGCTCTAGGTTTGATAAGGATTTTTATCAAATTCATTAAGAAATAGTTCCCTTATTTGTAGTCAGGGTTGTTGGTATGGTTGCTGTTCTTCATACCAACCTGCCGGTTTTGAGGGAGCCCTCCTCAGGGCAGATCCATCACGGCATTTCATCCTCTTTGGACCTCGCCTGTGGTAACTGCCTTGTGTGTTTCATTTTCTCTTAGGAAGAGGCCACTTGCACACTTCCCTACTTAAGCTCCCTCAGAGGGTCTGGTTGAGGTATCCCAGCTCTCTGCTGTGGGACTCAGAGGTTCTTAGTACACAATCAAGCTGGGGTGTTTCCACTTCCTCACCCAGATGGACACTTGAGACTGGCCTCCCTCTATCCTGTTGAACCTGAAGCCTCTCTCTACATTCTGAGACTGGTTTGCACCATTGCTCAGGATATCTCTTCTCTTCCTCAGGCTGGGTTTCTTTAATGGCAGAAGCTTTGAAATCCTTCCACATCATGGAGGCCTCCCATGCTGCCAGAACCCTGGCCAATCTAGACCGAGAAACCGTGCATGAGAAATACCAGGATGGGGTGTACGTGCTCCATCCCCAGTGCCGGACAAGGTGAGCATCATGTGGACTTAAATGATCTTTCTTTTAACTGGAAAGGGATTTTATTTCCAATTGAGATTGAAGGAAAGACTTCGAGAGAGATCCAAGGAAAGTCATAGCATGCATCTCTGTAGGCTAGCCATCCCTCTTCCATTCTCTGTCTCCAGCCTAGCTGTGTGCTCCGGACAAGGGAGGAGCTGTGCAAGGAAGGTTCACACAAAGCAGCCCCCCAGTCATTGCAGCCCAGACCTTCCCCAGGGCTAGATGAGGAAGAATGGGGAGCCCCAGGGACAGGACCCCTGAGGGGCCTTCTTGCTCACATGCCTCCTTCACCTGTGGCATTTTTAAAATCAGTTTGGGGATTAGGATATTTCTTTGAACCAAACTCCAAGTCTCTTCTCAGAGGAAACCAAAAATGGCAGTTGGTTCCTCCATCTCCACCAGCTCCCTCAGTCTGACTGCCGGGAGGTGCTGCAGAGGCAGGTGACAGCAGCCAGTGCAGGGCCCCCCCACTGCCCCACAACTGTCAGAGCCTGGCTCTCATGACCATAGTTTGGGGGGCTTGCCCCACAACACCCCTTTCTGGGGGAGCTGCATTCCACTCTTCATATGGGAGTGAGGTCGGATGAGAGGCCGGATGAGAAGCAAGGGCCCCAAGAACAGGGCCAGTGTGTTGTGTTGGAGGAGCCAGGATGAGCAAGAACCCACATCACGGGAGACTCAAGGCCACTGAAGGTAGCTGTCTAGCCATCACTGGGATCCAGGGTCCCCTTACAGAAGATCCTTGAAAAAAAAAAAGCCTCTGCAAAGAGAAAAATGGATTTCTTGGTTCACTCTGACTGGCAGATAAACAGTTGTGATGACTGCTGCAGTACCAGCTCTAACTCCAAAAGGAAGAGTTAAGTGTGGGTGATGGTGGCTCAGGCTTCGTGTTGCCTGGGATAACATGTCCCACGTCACCTTCTTATGGCCCCAAAACAAGAGCAGAGTCACAAGTGCATACATACCAAATATTCTGGTGGGAGCATCAGGTGGGTGGGGGATAGAAAAGCAGGGAAAACTCCAGAACGAGTTCACCATTACCTGGTGACATTTTAGCTTTTGATTGGTGGGAGCATTAGGGCCTATTTGGAGGCCTTCAAATCAAATCAAATCATTAGGTTTTTTTTCCTCACACTTTAAAAACATTCTTTTTGTAAAAACAACAACAACAAAACCAAAGACAAAAAACAAACAAACAAATGCATTTTTTTAAAAAAAGTATCCACGAAAGACGGAAAAAGGAAAGTGAAGATGAGCCCCCAGTGGTGTAAGGGGGGAGTTTGGTTCTTGTTTAGGGTTCATAAGTGGAAGGAGAAAGCCGGGCAAAGAAAACAGTGAGGTCCTCAGGTTGAAAGGTCAGTTTGGTTGCAGAGGAACTGAAGCTGTGCCTCTCAGCTGCCTTGCTCCTTGTCACGGGAAGTTTATTCTTGTAACTGGGAGGTTAGGTTTTAGTTGTGTGTCCGTCAGGATGTTACTAGCCTGTAACTAAGGAAGTGTGGCCACACACCTATGCTCTCTAACCTTCGCCTGCTGCACACCTTGGGTCTCACTGTCATTTGCCAGGGTGGATAAACTCTTTAGGACAGAATCTTATTTTAGCATACAGATTCTCACGTCAAAGAATTACCTTTGCTTTCAGCCTTATTTTAACCAAAAACTAATTTAACATTTTATCCTTATTTCTCATACTTGATGGTTCCTTTCTGCCTTATTTTTCTTAAAAAAACAAAAAACAAAAAACAAAAACTTTTGAGGTTAGAAAACCATTTTCTTGACATGTAAATTAGTTAATTAGCGAACACTCAAAGTCCAGGTGCCAGAGGTACTGCCTTTGCTGAAAAGCACATCCTTCCTTTTGGATCCACAAGGTGACCAGAAGGCTACAGTCTGGCATCTCTGCCTTCACTGTGTTTCCTTCCTCTGGGCCAGACTCCTGCCCTCCTAGGCCTGTTAATGCTCATTGGGGAGTCTACCCAAATGACCTCATCCCCTTCCATGCGTGAAGGCACTGTGTGTGTGTGCCCGTGTGCTAGTGTCCTAAGCTTCCAGTCACCTTGCACTCCGAGGACAGCAACCTGGGGGCCACCTAGATGAGAATGGTCATCCCTGAGGGTGGGGCTGTACTGTGGAGTCTGAGTTACCACCTTCTGAACTGGTGTCTCCTCCAGTAACGAGAACTTAGACCGCCTGCCTTGTAGACGTCAAACTCAGTCAGTGATCAGGACCACACCTTGGCCAAGATGCTTTAGTTTGTCAACTTCTTGTCTCTTGGTCCCAGATTTTCTTTAACGCTCATGTCAGTACACAACTGATGGGCTTTGGGGTACAGGAGTCCTTCACTAGTCCTTCCCAGTGCTGCAGATGGAATGTTGGTGTCACATGAGGAACAGTGGCTGCACCTGGCTTGGTGGTGCTCCTGGAGCTCAGGCTTTTGTGCCGAAATCCCCATTCCATGATAAAGGTTTGGAGCTAATCTGGGGACACCACTTACTTGAGCTAATTTGAACTGAATGCATCATGTATGTATGCCATGTATCTAAATAGTACACCGAAGTGTCTACATTGGTAAATCAAGATGATACAGCCTTTATGTTAAAACTTATAAAGTAAATTTACTAGTTTAAAAAGAGGCGAGAATCTAAGTTTTCAACAAAATGAATTAGAATCACTCTTGGTTAAACTCTGAAATCTTTTTTTTTTTTTTTGGTATTTCGAGACAGGGTTTCTCTGTGGTTTTGGAGCCTGTCCTGGAACTAGCTCTTGTAGACCAGGCTGGTCTCGAACTTACAGAGATCCGCCTACCTCTACCTCCCAAGTGCTGGGATTAAAGGTGTGTGCCACCACCGCCCGGCTAAACTCTGAAATCTTATTCTTGCCATTTTCTTAAGCAATGTTACCTAGATTTAAAGTATATCTTTTATATTTTTCTTAGTTTCATTTCAGTTTAATAATGAAATTCTTACATATTTATACTGTAGGGAGAATGAACTTGAGATAGCAGCCTTCCTGGGCTCAGAGAGAGAGAGAGAGTAGGAAAACATCACAAATCCCTAAAACCTGGATAGCTAGACTAAAAGACAAAAACCTCCTTATTGTTGTCTCGAAGAATAAGAACTGTATTGGCTGGTTTTGTGTGTCAGCTTGACAAGCTAGAGGCATGAGAGAAGGAGCCTCAATTGAGAAAATGCTTCCATAAGATCTAGCTATAAGACATTTTCTTAATCAGTGATCGGTAGAGGAGGAACCAGCCCATTGTGGGTGGTGCCATCTCTGTGAAGTTGGTCCTGAGTTATATAAGAAAGCAGGCTGAACAAGCCATAAGGAGTTAGTAGGCTAAGCAAGCCATAAGGAACAAGCCAGTAAGCAGTACTCTCCATGGCCTCTGCATCAGCTCCTGCCTCCAGCTTCCCACACCCTGCTTGAAATTTCTGTCCTGACTTTCTTCAGTGATGGGCTATGATCTGGACGTATAAACTGAATAAACCCTTCCCTCTATTTGTTGTGTTTCATTGCAGCAATAGAAATCCCAAGACAGGAACCAACCAACAAAAATCATGCACAGCAATTACCTGAAATTAGCAGTTATTACGAACACAGAACACACACCACAATTACAGTAAACCAGAACACACCCAGTATAAACCACACAGAAAATGTCCCCATGTCTGTGAGATGTAAGAGGAGCCTGAGGAAAGACACAGTGGTCGAGAGGTGATGTTACACAGACTGTGTGAACATCTGGCTGTTGAGGAGCTCTCAGCAGGGAGGGAGGAGACTCCCTTGCTCATGGAAATATCAAGTCTGAACACCCTGTTCTTTCGTGGGTCAGTGAAGCAATCAGTAATTCTGAAAAATCCTGGAGGGCCCTGAAAGCTGGAATCCAGGAAGGGCAGGCACTGTCTGGACCCTTCTCTCTTTAGTTCACCTCATCTTCTGTTCCTCTTGCGGGTCACTAGGGTGAGGAATTATAAAGGGGAGGATGCATGGTCAGAGGAGGGGAAGAAGCTGGAGTCTTCAGGGCTCATCTAGGATTTTAATACGGTCTCCAAAATTTTCCTATTTTTAACATCTTTTAGAAAAATTGGTAGTTTTCAAAACTCTCATAGGTTTATTCTAAATTAGCAGTTTTATTACTTATGATTTTTACTTCTGCCTAGGACTTTTAGTGTACACACACACACACACGAACTTTGGAATGTCAAATGGTTCCCATGTTTTTTCTTTTTCTTTTTGAAACAGGGTTTCCCTGTAGTTTTAGAGCCTGTCCTGGAACTAGCTCTTGTAGACCAGGCTGGCCTTGAACTCACAGAGATCCACCTGCTTCTGCCTTCCGAGTGCTGGGATTAAAGGCATGGACCTCCACCACTGGTTCCCATGTTTTTAAATTAATGAATTACTAAACATTAAGCCAGCCTTAGTACAAAATGATAGTTTTCTATAGACATTTTCTCTTTCCTTGCATTTCTGTTCCCCATTTTAGTCTTTTTCCCTCTTCCCTAACATGGTAACCTCCTATGCTAGCTGGTGGGATCTGAGTGTGGATGAGATTTACAGGCTGTCTTCCCATCCTGACTCAGTGCTATGACAGTGTGAGGGAGGTCAAGGTACTGGGTGAGCCACCCTCATGTGTGTCTTTCTGGCTGAGTCAGCAAGTTTCCTTCTGACCCTGGAATGAGATGTGCTGTTTCAGGTTTCCTCATGAGGCCACTGCATGTCTACAGAGGTCCTTGACATTTCTCATGTGCAATGGCTGCCATTATATTAGCATATCTTGTCTAATTTCTTAAATGCCTTAGTTGGTTTGTGAAATGCTTTCATAGATTCATTTGGAGGGTAGCCTCATGGTGGCATCACTCACATGGGGAGGGTTGCCTCGAGTGGCATCATTCACATGTAAAGGGTAGCCTCATGGTGGCATCGCTCACATGTAAAGGGTAGCCTCATGGTGGCATCGCTCACATGTGGAGGGTAGCCTCATGGTGGCATCGCTCACATGTGGAGGGTAGCCTCATGGTGGCATCGCTCACATGTGGATCACAGTTCACTATAGTTGCTCTGTTGGTCTGCCAGGCTAAATGCCTCTTTCCACTGAAGGAGCAATGAGTGCTGTCTTTGTCACATCCCAGGATTCCTCAGCAGCCCATGCTGATAGCGTTTGCCCTGATTCAGTCTCCTCTGTGTCACTCAGCCTGCCTAAGCCCTCCAGGGAGTACCGCGGAGCTTGTCACAGTAGTAATGCATTTACTCTGCTTCTTTTTAAAACTCTCTTCCCTCTTAGTCAGCCCATTAAAGCCGATGTCCTTTTTATTCATGGCCTGATGGGAGCAGCATTTAAAACCTGGCGCCAGCAGGACAGTGAACGGGTTCTACTGGAAAATTCTTTGGTGGATGAGGACAGGTACACCATGTGCTGGCCCAAGGTAAGGAGCCATGGCGGTGACTGTCACCCATGCTCTAGCACCGGCACTGCCGACACTGCACTGTGCCTTAGTCTCCTTGTCTTGTGCCACTGGGATTTCTCCTGCGCTGCTCTTCTTTCCCTTGGAGACACCTGTAGGATATGACATCAGCAGCTGGGCTTATGACCTTGCATTGTGTACTTTCTGTTTAGGGTATATTCTGTGACTCTCGAATAATACTCCATGAGTGATAAAGTAGGATAAGAGTGCAATAATTCACTTTGCTTCATAATTTAAAAGATAATACAGCCATAATTTACTTGTACTAGCCAGCTTTATGACCTTAATAATTATAAAGGTAGAAAGATTTGGATAACGTAATCTCCTTTGCAATTCTTTGATTTCTTTTTCCTACGAAGAGCCACAGCTGCAGAATGAGTTCATGGGGTGAAATTGTTCAAAGTCCGTGCAGAAGAATGCTGTGTATGAGTGGTTTCCAGGGCTTTGCTCCCACCCACTTCCTCAGGAAGACTAGCATGCTCGTCTCTCCATTGGTGAAGTCTGGGGATGTTAGCCTCCAGCTCCCAAAGACAAACACAGTTAGCATTAGTTTCCAATTCTCAGGTCTCAGTGTATTACAACAGAAAATACAGTCTGTTCTGAGACAGTAGTTTTCTACTAACTGCTAAAAGCTTCCAGAACAAGTCTTGATTTTGGCAAATTAACAATGTTCTCATACCTTCACGTGCCTTTGTTATAAATATTGATGGCATTTTATGACTCACCAGCATCTCCGAGCTTGCCCCTCCGCCTCCAGTGTATCCCAGTGTCCTCTGTACTGTGTGTTGCAGGAGGCCTTGGGTTGCACAGAGCAATTACTAGGAAGTAAGCGGATGGGGAAATGCATGCGTATGCTCATGAACCTTTTGTTTTACCTAGACTTGGCTAGCAAAAGACTGTCCCGCGCTTCGCATTATATCCGTGGAGTATGACACCAGCCTCAGTGACTGGAGAGCACGGTGCCCCATGGAGAGGTAACATCAGAGGGTATACTAGATGGTCAGATGGGAGGGCCCAGGCCACAGCGGGTCCTCTGCCATCACAGGCAGGTTTATCTTTCCAACGTTGGGAATTGAGCACAGGTGTTTGCATGTTGGCAGACACTACCATTGTTGTCTTCCTTCCAGGCATTCGCTTGCAATAAGTAATAAGTAGAAAGATGAGACACTGCATCGTGTTGAGATCCTGACCTGGCTCACATAACTATAGTGGTATAGGACCCCAACTCTCTGTCACAGTCTTCACTTCTGCTGAGTAAAACTGATAGTTCTTGTGTCCTCACGACTGTCCTGGCTGAGGGCAGCTCAAGGAGAAAGATGCCACGTAGTTTTGGCCTGTGTTCCTTCTGTGTCCTAAGGAACAGCGAGTACCTTCCTGGGGTCCAGGACCCAGATAGCCGAGTCCCAGCCCAGGTCACTGTGTAGGCAAGTCATCCAGGGTCTGTGCCGCTTTCTCTCAGAGAGCAGAGCTAGTTGGTGACACAGCATGGTGTTTAATGAGTGGATCCTACATGGGTGCCAACAGAGGGGCCCCCAGCCCACCTTTGTCTCCCAGAGGAGCACTGGGGAACCTTTGTTCTCAAACAAGAGGTGTTAGAGTTGAAGAGAATGAAACCAGCAGGCGCAAAGCTTGAAGTCAAGTTCCCTTTTGGTCTGAAATCACTCACTCCGAAGTCTGATGATCATTTTCTAGTGTTTAGTGCATAAATCCAGCGGTTGATGTCCATGGCATAAACAAAGTAGGAATGGACTCAGTCAAGTCTGGGACATTTTAGTGTCAGGCCATGGATGAAAAGGGATTTTTGTCTCCCATACTAAAGTATTTAGAGCAGCTGGAATGAGACCCATGTTCAACCTGTAAAAATTGCCAGCTCCATTTGATATTCAAATAATGTGTGCTTAGTGTATGAGTGGCCTGTTGTGGGCTTAGATAGTCCTAACTATTATTAATAATTTTCAGATAGAGAATAAAATTGGCATAGCCTGCACTCCAGAGTGTCAGCCAGTAGCACTGAACAAGCAAACGTTCTTGTCTTAGAAAGTTAGGTTGCAAGATTTGGAGGATGGTGCCTCCCGTCATGCTTGCTGTTTTCGTTTTGTTCAGAAAGTCCATTGCATTCAGAAGCAACGAACTTCTTAGCAAGCTCAGAGCTGCTGGTGTTGGGGATAGGCCAATGATTTGGATATCACATAGCATGGGAGGTAAGGATGGTTTCATCTTCATAGAGTGACCATCATGAGGTGGTTGTCAAGGTTGCGGCCAACTCAAAGTTCCATATCTGTCTGTTACTTAACTAGTCTCCCACCCCAAGTTAATGTTTTAGCTAAATGTTTTAAAGTTACTACTGTCCTTCCATGCTATTTGTTTTTCTAGAAGGGGACATCCCTTCTAGAGGGCATGGACATCCCATGGGAGGGCATGGATTGATAACTTGGTGGTTTCATTTGGTCATTATGAGAAAGCGTCTTTACTGTGGGCTGTTGACCAGTTAGACTCAGTTAAGCTAGCATTCCCCGGAGCTTGGGGGCTTCCCTTTCTTCCCATCCATGCCTTTTCCACATTGTCAGCTCTGCTGTTGCCTGGCTGCTGGGTCGTGGCCTTAGTTTCCCTGTGCCTGGCTGCTGTGCGTGGGGACCTGCCCTTTAGCTGCATGCCTTACTGCTGCCGTCCCGCAAACCAGCACTCAGCTTTCCCCATGGCCTTGCCTACCTAGGCTAACAAATTGATTGTGACTTAGCAAAAAGCCATGGCTGAGGCTCAGCCTGAGAAAGGTGCATGTAACCCTTCTGCTTCTCAAAATGTCCAGTCACCGTCCCTGGTGTCTTTTATTCCCTGGTCAGGGGACTTGGTTAGGCTTCATGGGTGCCTGTCCCATAGCAGCTGCTTTTCCTTGGCAGGACCTGTGACTTTGCACTGCAGCTCTCCCGGGGCGGGCTTGAGTGGGTGGGGCTTGAGAGGGCGGGCTTGAGTGGCCAGGCACCTGGCACCTCCACGGAGGCAGTGGAGTCTGTGAGAGAAGGGTCTGCACCACAAAGCGGTCTGCGGGCTGTTTGTAGACTCATATTCATAATTCTATATAGTATCATTATTATAAAGGCTTTTTTGTATAAAGGAAATTATTGGAATTTTAGCACATCTCTGTCTTGTTCTGTTGGAACAGAAGGAAGGAAACCACTTACACTCTCTTTCTTTACCGTGGCTAGGTCTTCTTGTCAAAAAGATGTTGTTGGAAGCCTCTAAGAAGCCAGAACTGAGCGCTGTCATAAACAATACCAGAGGAATGATTTTTTACAGTGTCCCTCACCACGGATCACATTTGGCCGAATACTCGGTTAATATCCGATATCTTCTCTTTCCTTCTTTGGAAGTGAAAGAGCTCAGCAAGGGTAAATCAAGCTCTCTGTTGTGAAGGGGATTGCGCTTGTAGAACATCAAGATATGGAAAGGGGAAAACAGTCAGTTTCTTCTTTAAATATACTCCCTTGGTTTGAAATTCGCATACAGCTTTTAGCTTGGGTTTGTTTTCCTTTGATAGCTCTTTTTTGTTTTGACTGACTATCTACTCAATCATAACCATAATTTTTTGTGTTATCTCAAGTATTCAAACTTAGACAAATTATGGTTTTTCTTCCAAGCTAGTAAACTGCCTTTTTCCATGAGTTTGGAAAATCATCAGCTGTGCAAACATGCACAAACTCTGGAGACACTGTTGTGAGCAGTGTGTACTTATCATCAACACCGATTCTAGCCTGACATGATTTGTCCTAGAGAACGTTGTGTGCACGGAAGAATGTGCGCTCTGCCGCTCTGGACAGAAAGTCCTAAGAATCCACGTTAGGCCCAGTCACTGGGTGTTGTTTTTCAGCGTCTTCTCAGGATGACCCTAGTGTAGTGGAAAGTGGGGTCTGGATGCCTCCAACTGTTACTGTGTTGATCTGTCTCTGCACTTACGTCTAATATGTGTTTTACACGATTGGGTGGTTCCATGTTGGATGCATACATATACAATCATTACATGTTTTTGCTGAACTGATCTTCCTATCTTAAATGATCCAGTTAACTAAAAATCTCTCAGATGCCCAGCAGTTTGGGTTTTTGGTTTAATTCCACATATAGCCAAGTTGACAACCAAGAATAGCCATGCCCTCAGGCTTGTGCAGCAAACACTCTCCTGCCTGAGTTTGCCGTGAGTCAGAATGTTAGCATCCTCTGAGTTAGAGATGAACGCCTTTTGTCCGGAGCTGAGTGACTGGGTTGTCACAGTCTCGCTCTGTGTGCTTTACAGATTCTCCTGCACTTCAGACCCTACAGGACGACTTCATGGAGTTTGCAAAAGACAAGAACTTCCAGGTGCTGAGTTTTGTGGAAACACAGCCAACGTTTATCGGCAGCATGATTAAGCTGCATATCGTGCCTGTGGAGTCAGCAGGTACTCACTCTGGAGGCGTGTGCCTGTTGGATGCCTAGTTGAGGGGACCCAGCATTTAGTAGATGCCAGTTTTTATATCCAGTGTCTTAGGGATATATAGGAGAACGTTTGATAAAAATCCAGAGTCTAAGTTCATTATGCTTTTAGCAACAGATTAAAATCCCTGTGCAAGCATACAGCCTTAACCTCTATAGACCAGATACCAGCTAGTTTGCAGGCTCTAAGGCACCAGCCGTAGTACCTGCATTAAGGAGGTAACCAAGCACTTCTCTAGGCTGGTATAAAAGGGGCATGTGTTCAGCAAATGAATAGCTGCACAGAAACCTTAAACCAATAATAAATGTAAAAGTTTTAGTACATCTAGGCTATAAAAGTTTGGAAATTTTGGTAATGGAAGGTGTACAGGGAATATTAAAGCAGGAAATAATTTAGAAGAACCTAGTGCTAAAAAGTATGAGCAGAGGGCAGATGGGAGTAACGCCTGCTGCTAGTGGAGACTCTACCTCTAAGCTCTCCTTAGAGCCTCCTGACTGACTGCATCTCTCAGCTTGAGGACCATCTCTTGGGACTCCTTTCTGAGGCTGGCTTAGGTCCTGTCCTGATAGCTCATGGCAATGGCAAGCTCTTAGGGACCGGGACAGCTTGTCTCAGCAATGACTCCTAGGGGGCACCAGGGACAGTGTGCTCACCTCAGTCAGGACGCTTGCGTAATGAGCTTTGTCCTCATCTCAGTATACTCCACAGGAAACAGAAAGTACCCCACTTCATCTCAGTATATTCCACAGGAAACAGGAAGTACCCCACTTCATCTCAGTATATTCCACAGGAAACAGGAAGTACCCCACTTCATCTCAGTATACTCCACAGGAAACAGGAAGTACCCTCACCTCATCTCAGTATACTCCACAGGAAACAGGAAGTACACTCACCTCATCTCAGTATACTCCACAGGAAACAGGAAGTACCCTCACCTCATCTCAGTATACTCCACAGGAAACAGGAAGTACCCCACCTCATCTCAGTATACTCCACAGGAAACAGGAAGTACCCCACTTCATCTCAGTATACTCCACAGGAAACAGGAAGTACCCCACTTCATCTCAGTATACTCCACAGGAAACAGGAAGTACCCCACCTCATCTCAGTGGACACCACAAGAAACAGGAAGTACCCCAAGGTCCTATCTTTAGACACTCTAGCAGAATCCTAGGCTGAGGCTTAGCAAAGCAGCTACATGAAGATTTCCAAGCATGGCTGCCAGATGTCTAAAGCAACCTTAGAAACCATAGCTTTGTCCCCGTAATTCTGATTGTCCTTTATTGCCCTTCTCCCTCCGCTCAGTGGTGACTCATTGGCATTTCTTGTTACCTGCATCCAGGTGGACTTGTCAGACTGCAATAGCAGATACCCTTTCTGGTCCCTCAAGAAATCAAATATTGAAGTACCAAATCCTGTTCATCCTCTCCTCTCCACATACACACACACACACACACACACACACACACGGAATGGTTTGGATCAGCCTGCAGGCCCAGGGTAGTCTCTGCAGGGCCAGTGCTCAGGCTCTGCTTGGAGCACATGTGGAAACTGGAGGAAAAATAGAAACTGAGACTTCACCCACTGGGCATGGAGTTGAGTTCGCTCAGGCTTTACTGACATTTGTGCTTTCTTCAGACTTAGGCATTGGGGATCTAATTCCTGTGGATGTCAACCACCTGAACATCTGTAAGCCGAAGACAAAGGATGCGTTTTTGTATCAGCGCACCCTACAGTTCATCCGTGAAACCTTAGCCAGAGACCTTGAAAAGTGACAGCGGCTATCTCCCGTCCTCGGTGTGAATACAGTACAGGAACCGTGGTACTGTCCTCTAGTTCATCCGCGAAACCTTAGCCAGAGACTCTTGAGAAGTGACAGCTGCTGTCTCCTGTCCTCGGTGTGAATACAGTACAGGAACCGTGGTACCCTCCTCTTCTTAGGCTCCGTGCGGTTCTCTGCAGTCACATGGCAGCCTAGTCTGCCAGTGTGCAGACAGCAGAAGGCAGCTTTTCACAGAGTGCTGGGGCAGAGCCGCTGTGACCAGAGCGCCTGTCCACCTAGACCATCCTAGATTATCCCAGTGCCCTGAAGGCCACTCAGCGTACCATGAACCTGCCATTTGGAGAGAGCAAGTTGGAACTTAGAGAGGCAGTGTTTGTCGTGTGTGCCATGGGCTGTAAGTTCTAGTGCCAGTTTTTTTTTTTTTTTTTTTGGTTTTTCGAGACAGGGTTTCTCTGTGGCTTTGGAGCCTGTCCTGGAACTAACTCTGTAGACCAGGCTGTTAACATTAATGTGTCAGCTACATATTTGGCACGCCCTCTGCACGCACACCAGTGTATGTCTGGTCTTGCACGCATCTGTTTTTCCTTGTTGCTGAGAACAGTCTTTTTTTTTCCCCCTAAAACTTGTTTCTAGGCTATTTTACCTAGTTCTGCAGCACTGTGCTCTGGATACAGCTAGAGTAAGGATCAGCATATGAAAAGGACTGTGTGAAGCTGTCAGGTACACTAACCGAGAGCTATCAGGACTCGACCCTCCGGCTACAAAAGGGACAGCTTCCCTTTGTGTTTCCTTTAGAGGTACTTCCGGCATGGGAAAGTAGGAAGTCATGCTCATGGACTTTTTTGTGTTTGAGTAATAGCATTATTGACATGAAATTCATTTATTTCTTTCCTCCTTTTTTTAAAAAATTTTTTTCGTTTGTGGTGCTAGGGTCACACCCAGACATTGTGCATGCTAGCCAAGTACTCTGCCAGTAAACCACGTCCTCAGCCTCCAGTTTCCCATCTCACTGATGTTTGGTTTATTCGGAGTTACCAGCGATCACCACTGTCCATTTTAGACTATTTTATCATCCTCAGAGAAGCTTACTGAGCAGCAGTTTCCTCCGTCCCAGCCCCCTGGTAAACACTAACATATTTTCCATCTTCATGAATTTGCCTAACTGTGCCTTCACCTTGTTGATCTTAGCATAATGAAAATCTTGCATTGGTCCTTTCCTGTTTCTGTTCCCTCGCTGCCATAAGGTGAGCAGTTTGGCTAATCCTACCAGTCTGCCATGTGGCCCTGTCTCACTCAGTGGGACCGGTGACCACTGACAGAAACTATGAGCCAAAGTAACTGTTTCTTCCCTAAGCTCTGCTGCCCAGGTGTTTGTCATAGCAGTGAAGGGGATACAGTTCTGCTCTAAAACCGATCTAAAAAGAGCTATCTGGTGTGTCACTAAATCACTGTTGCTGCTTTTCCTGTTTACATGATGGAAAGGCCATTATCACAAATGTGTAGATGAAGTTTATCATACGCAAGACCAAGGGGGAAAGAAATGCAGGCTGGGCTGTGGTGGCGCACGCCATTAATCCCAGCACTCGGGAGGCAGAAGCAGGTGAATCCTTGTGAGTTTGAGGCCAGCCTGGTCTACAAGAGCTAGTTCCAGGACAGCTAGGACTGTTATACAGGGAAACCCTGTCTCGAAAAACCAAAAAAAAAGAAAAAAAGAAAAAGAAATGCTATACATTCCATTGCTAGGGCAGGACAAAGCAAATCCAGTGCTGGCTGAAGATGCCCTTCTAAGGCAATATAACCTGAATAAAGAAGTGGTTGAAGGAAACAAATGAGTACAAGAACGTAATTAAAAAGCAGCAGCACAAATGAATACCCCACTAGCACAGGGATGGCTGAGTGTGGACAGAAGCGCAGGCTGCAGGACAGTTAACTGATACTAACTCGAAGCAAGCTATTCTCTGCAAGGCAGGCACTGGCAGCACCGGCATGGCCTCTGTGCCTTTAGTGACTAATGAAGGCACACAGAAAGAATGAAAATACTGTGTTCCGCCGGGCGGTGGTGGCACACGCCTTTAATCCCAGCACTCGGGAGGCAGAGGCAGGCGGATCTCTGTGAGTTCGAGGCCAGCCTGGTCTACAAGAGCTAGTTCCAGGACAGGAACCAAAGCTACAGAGAAACCCTGTCTCGAAAATAAAAAAAAAAAAAATGCTGTGCTCCAAATGGCATAGATCCCTGGAAAACAAGTAACCCCGCTACCAGTGTTAGCAACAGTAATAAGGAAGGGAGCAATTACATTCTCAGCTAAATTGCTCTTGAATGAATATCTGTGTAATGAACAGATGTGGTCAGGCTGCAGGAGCACAGTAGTGTTGATGAGGTCCACCGTTAGCTTCAGCTTGAGTTTACATTAGTTCATTATGTGTGGTACGATGGCTTGGAACATAGCCTGGTATTTTATCATACATGCACATAGATTTCTAGAATAATGGTAATTTATGGGTACATTGGGATAAGCCAACCCACAACTAAAAATATGTTGGTGAAATCATTAAATATATCCTGGGCTATATACATGATGGCATATGTTTTTAATACCAGCAGGGAGATCTGAGTTCACACCAATCTGATTTACATAGCAAGTTCCAGGCCAACCATGGCTATGTAGTGAGTCCTTGTCTCAAAACAAAATCCTGAACATGGCCACAAACTGTGAACTTTAAAAAGTATGTGTGCACCACTTGAGAGGTTGAGGCAGGAGGATAGCTAGTTCTGGGCCAGTCTGAGCTACAGAGTTTGATCCTATTTTAGAAAAACAAACCCAAACTCCCAACCTTCTCCAAAAACGGTGTCTAAGTCATCTTCTCTCTTCACACATGAATAAAATTAGATCTAAAATGCAAAAACAAAACAAAAACCTTTACTTGTAAATTCTTACTCATTTTCCTTGGGTCAAAGAAAAATAAAAAGCAAAATTACAATTGAGCAGTTAATAACAAGGAGAATAATTTGTGGTAAAATATCAAGGGTGAAGCCAGGCTTTGTAGGTTTGTAAGTTTATCTTTTTTTATACATGAGAAACTGAAGCAATGGAACACAGTGCTTCTTTAAAATTAGAAAAATTTAAATGCAGAAAAAGGAAACAGTTGAAAGAAATTAAAATGCAGAAAAAGCAATTGGGAGAAATTGTTTATAAAAGACTTTAAAATACACAACTTTTAAAACTCAGCAGTAAGGAAATGAAGCCCCTGGCCCGGGACACAGACAGACATGTCACCAGAGACATACTCAAAGGCGTATGAAGGCGATCATCACCATATGCCATCATCCAGAAAGGTACAGTACACACCAGAACAGTCGCAATCCCAGACAGTGCCAGGCATGGACACGGAGGCAGAGCCACAGGGACTTTGACTCGTGAGACAGGAATGTGAGATGATGCCCCTGCTCTGGAGCCATTCGCTCCCTTAGGAGACACAGTCTTAGCTTTGGTACTTAAGCAGGTGACTAGAAACTTGATGCCCACACAACACCCTGCACCCTGATATTTACGGCAGCTTCATCCACACATTGGCAATGCTTGGGAGCCACCAAGATCTCCTTCAGGTAGCAGAAACTCAGTGCTAAAAAGAAATGTGCTGTCAGCCCAGCGAAACAACAGGAAGAGCCCTTACACTCCCTCGCTGGGTTAGAAGAAGCCACATACTGTATGACTGCTAATCCGACATTCTGCAAAGAGCAGCAACAGAGATAAGGGTGGGTTCCTAGGAACTGGGGTTGGGAGGTGCATAGGAGCAAGGTCCAAGTCACCATACATACCTTAGAATGCAGCACAGAGTGAAGCCTCACGTGGAGCCAGGGCCATCAGAGGTAATGGCATCAGGTGTAGGTTTATTGGCTGCAGCCGTCATGGTGCAGGGTATCAGTGGCAATACCTGTGGGGGCGGGTGGTACATGGGAACCCGCATTTCATGACGTCTATTCTCCACTGACCCTGTGTTGGTGTCACTCCTTGTACCTGTGGGGGCGGGTGGTACATGGGAAGCTGCATTCCCTGACGTCAGTTCTCCACTGACCCTCTGCTGGCATCACTCCTTGTACCTGTGGGGGCGGGTGGTACATGGAAACCCACACTCCCTGACGTCAGTTCTCCACTGACCCTCTGCTGGCATCACTCCTTGTACCTGTGGGGGCGGGTGGTACATGGGAACTCGCATTTCATGACGTCTATTCTCCACTGACCCTGTGTTGGTGTCACTCCTTGTACCTGTGGGGGCGGGTGGTACATGGGAACCCACACTCCCTGACATCAGTTCTCCGCTGACCCTCTGCTGGCGTCACTCCGCGTCACTCCTTGTATGACTTGTGCCGCTGAGCTCAGCCCAGGCAACAGCTGGCACTGTAGTGTTTGAGTCCAGCTCCTACCACTTAGAAAGGTTCCTCTGTCTGCTGGTCCCATCCTGGGCCAGGTCCAAGTCACACAGACAAAGGGAATTCTTACAGGTTTTTACTATTTTGAGATGACCAGAATATTCTGACTCCTAAGAAACATAACATTAACAACTAAATTTTTTTTTTATTTTTATGTATACAATATTCTGTCTGTGTGTATGTCTGCAGGCCAGAAGAGGGCACCAGACCTCATTACAGATGGGTGTGAGCCACCATGTGGTTGCCGGGAATTGAACTCAGGACCTTTGGAAGAGCAGGCAATGCTCTTAACCACTGAGCCATCTCTCCAGCCCCCTAGCAACTGAATTTTGACTAATTAGAAGAAACATGGGCAGAATTTTTTTTCTTTTGAGATGATGTCCCTGTGTAACGGTTCCGCTGTCCTGGAACTCACTCTGCAGACCAGGCTGGCCTCAAACTCACAGAGGTCAGTCTACATCTGCCTCTCAAGTGCTGGGATTAAAGGCGTGTTCCACCACCGACATGGGGAGAATTTGAAGAGTACAGACTCCCATCTGTTTCCGTGAAGAAATGTATGTGAACCGCACTCGCGGTTCACCTGCTCCTTAGTCTGCCTTGAGAAGACGGTCTAGGCTTTCCAAGTCTCACACCGTGGAGCCTAATTTCAGGGTCATTTCTGTCAGTGGTCCCCGAGAGCAGCTTTCACACGATAAATCTACAGCTCATTTACATTTAGTTTCAGTGTGTGTGCGCGTGTGCACAAGCACACACACCCATAGGTCAAAGGACAACTCTGAGGAGTTAGTTCCCTCCTTCCACTCATGAGTCTTGGAGATCAAACTCAGATCTCAGGCTTGGCAGCAAGCACCTCTGGCTCCTGCGCCACCTCTTGGACTATCAAGCCATAAATTTTTAACCTTATTATTGTCCTGGTTTTTCTTACTGAGTTCGATTGTTGAAAAACAAAACATCACACAGTAAGAACTAGCAATTACAGCCAGGTGTGGGGGCACACGCCTTTTTAGCACTTGGGAAGGAGAGGCAGGCAGGTCTCTGTGAGTTTGAGGCCAGCCTGATCTACAGATGGAGTCCCAGGACAGCCAGGACTACATAGAGAAACTCTGTCTCAAAAAAAAAAAAAAGAGCCAGCAATTGCATTTGATGTAGAGGAAGGCCGGCCAAAGAAGAGTCCAGGGTTCTCTTCACATCCAAAAAGAATTCCAATTTTAAAAAGACAGACATGTTTAATAATGTATCCAACATCAGGGCAAATTACCAACACAGTGCAGATTTTATTAATCGCTAGTCTGGGTATATAGTCTCTCACGGTTTTCCTTCCCACTGAAATGACCATCGCAAAGCCAAAACTTTAACACATGACTTCCCTTACACATATCTCAAACTTCAGCAACTTTAAATCTCTGTAGAAATTTCTTGAGATTTCCTAATTTCAGTCACTTTTTTTTATGTGTAGGAAGTCTAAAAGGAGATTCTACTAGGGTCAGAAAGACCATGTGAGACTGTCGACGTCACCCCCGCGGTGGACTGCAGCATGTTTCAGAGCAACAGCAATGTGCAATTACAGCACTGACGACCAAAATCCCGACACAGATTGACACAGAATGACATCTGGGTGGCGGCTGCTTGCTGCTGAATTTACGCAACCACGCTGCTTAAGACATTTTCCAGTTAGTAATAAGCACTGTTTCTAAACCAAGGCCATCCCAACTGTCCTTTTCCCTACTCGAGAATGGGTCTCACTATGTAGCTCTGGCTGTCCTGGAACTCACAGATCCCCTTGCCTCTGCCTGCTGAGTGCTGGGATTACAGGCTTGAAGCACCACACCCAGCTTGTTCAATTTTCAGTGCTGCACTCTTCCTTGTGGACCACAGTCCTGGGCATGGGCTCCTCCTTTCAGTGGCTGCTTCTCTGATGAGCACTTGCCTCGTGGGCTCCTGGCTTCTGCGTCAGCCCATTGCTATGTAGAACAAAGAAGAAAACTACTGGAGTTGTCCCTGGACTTCCCTACCGCCTTTCTGACTGGGGTTACATGTATCTGCCATCCAGTTCACCTCTTCTGTGGTGGGAAAAAGGGATATGCAGGAAGAGGGCATCTAAATTTAAAAAACAAAAACATAAAAGAATCTTCCATCATGATTGCACGTGTGGGAAGAAACATCTTGGCCCATTCTTTAACATCTCCGGCAGCCTACCTGTCTCCTGATGCTTTCTATACGGTTTTTATTTGTAGAACACACACAAGGTGAACCACACAATCCTTTAAAGAACACTTGGGCACCACAGAAAGTACTCTGACCATCTATACACATCTTTAATTTTTTCCTTTATTTCTGTTTATTAGTGTTTTGCCTGCATGTATGTCTGAGCATACAGTGCTTTAAGAGGCCAGAAAAGAACATTGGATCTCGTGGGATTGGAGTTACAGATGACTGTGAGTCAAACCTAGGTCTTCTAGAAGAGCAGCCAGTGCTCTTAACCGTGAGCCATCTCTTCAGTGCCCCCACCATCTTTTGGAACTGCCAAATATGCATATTCCCTACTTAATCTCCTTTTGTTCCGATCAGTTTTCAGATGAATGTAGATGCATGGAGTTTTGTTCTTCATTGCCAGGTTCAAATAATTTACAAACTACCTTGAACGTGACAGTGAAAATCATTTCTGAAATCCCAGCAGTCTGGTGGGTAACAAAGAGTGAGTGTTATGTCCCAGGCATCATGGCCACGGCTATCCCAACCAGTAGCATTCCCTGCCGGACTGCCCAAAAGCGGCAACACAGACCACTGCTGTGTGGGTCTATGGTGTCAGTTACAGAAGTTGGCATAGTAAGATTTTCTAATGAATTTCTTTCTGAAAAAGGATCTTGCTGTTTCCCAGGCTGGTCTTGACCTTGTTGACCTTCCTATCTCTCTCTCAGCCTTCTTCAGCTAATGAACTTGGGGGGCATGGAAGTGAGATATCTGCTTCAAACAGGTTCTAGGCCTCACAGTATTTTTAAAATATAAGACAGCATCATGGTGTCTTTGTCAGTTCTTGAGAAGTATTAGAAATGTATGAAATTAGGGGGGCAACAAGCAGACTCAACAGCCGTGCAGCTACCAGGTCCGCATTCCATGCCCTGGAGGTGCTTCCTTGAAGACATCATATACTACACCATGGTCAGTCATCGTGGGCCAATGTGAGTTTTCACATCGTGTGCCTTTATAGGACATGGACAAACTGGAGGTGGTTTCATCCAGGGGATGAATATAAATTGGTTCAAGCAGCACACCACAGCTCAAGACCATGGCCATATACAGGGCGTGCAAGAGGCAGCTGGTCCATGTTTGAGTGGAGCGGAAGCTCATGGTGCACACATCACAAGCCACAGTCCTCCCACAGGACTTAGAATCAATGCATGTGGGTAGTTACCTGAGTGTCTGCGGGAGATCCGTTCCAGCACACCCTGAGAGACCCAAATCCTTAGATGTCCTAGCCCCCAGTGGTAACAGAATTTGTACAGTTCGTGCACATCCTCTTGTGCATGTGCAGTCGTGT